TGCAGAGATACCCAGTGACACCCGTGGGTCCCTGGGGCGAGGGGCAGGGTGAGGTGCCCTCTGGCCAGCAGTGCAGCCGCATGTTTTCTCCAGGGCACGGCGGCGGGCACCAAGAACAAACTGCCCAGCCTCATCACTTCCATGGAAACTGTGGGGGCCAAAGCGCTCGAGGATTTTGCTGACAACATCAAGGTGGGAGTTGGGGCGGGGGGGGGGGGGGGGGGGGGGGGGGGGGGGGGGAACACCGCCTGAGAGGGGGTGGAGCTGGGGGCGGGGCTGCGATGGGGCGGAACTGGGTGGGGTTGGGATGGGGGCGGGGCTGATCTGTGAGGGGCGGGGCCGGCCCTGGGGCAGGATTGTGACAGGGTGAAGCTGGGCCGGGGCGGGGCTGCAGGGGGTGGAGCCAGAACTGGGTGGGCTTGGGATAGGGGTGGAGCTGGGGGCAGGGTGCGGCCTTGAGGGGCGGGACGGCACTGGGACAGGATTGTGATAGGGTGAAGCTGGGCCGGGGGCGGGGCTTCAGGGGGCGGAGCCAGAACTGGACTGGGCTTGGGTGGGACTGGGGGCGGGGCCTTGAGGGGCGGGACGGCGCTGGGACAGGACTATGATAGGGCGAGGCTGAGCCAGGGGCGGGGCCTTGAGGGGTGGGGGCAGAACAGGGGGCGGAGCTTGGGATAGGGGTGGAGCTGGGGTCCGGGCCTCCTTGGTCCTGTCTCTGGGAGCCCGTCTTCATCTCCACCTCACAGAACGACCCAGACAAGGAGTACAACATGCCCAAGGACGGCACCGTGCACGAGCTCACGAGCAATGTAGGTGCCTGCAGGCCGGGGCGGGGACGTGACTGCCTAGGGGCCACACAGACAAGCCAGGGCCAGCCAGGGGTGCAAGGGTGCGGAGGAGGGGGTGGCCACCCGCCAGACTGCCGTGCTCAGGGGCACCGGGGAGGGGTGGGATGGGGAAGGGGCGGCCGCCCACCGCCCTGCCCCTGAGTCCCCGTGACCTCGCCCCTGCAGGCCATCCTGTTCCTGCAGCAGCTCCTGGACTTCCAGGAGACGGCAGGTGCCATGCTTGCTTCCCAAGGTACCGCCCCTCCACCGTCCACCCTCCCTCTGGCTCGGACAAGGGGGTCAGGGCCCCCAACGCGCCCCCCTCCCGCCACCTCTGGCTGAGGATGTCCATCTGCCCAGCGAGGGCCGGTGGCTGGTTCTGGTGTGCGACCACCCTCTCTTCTCTCCCCTTCAGCACCCCCCTTGCCACTCCATTTAAGAAACCCCCTCGGTGGAGCCCTCAGTGGACCGAGTTGCCCACCCCCCTTCCTCCTGCGTGTCCACCCACTCTGCTGTCCCCCTGCTGCTGACCCAGGCCCCTCAGCCTTACTCTGTTCCGCCCTCGGTGTCAGAAGCTGAGGGACGGTGTCTGGGTCCCCAGGGTTTGCTGAGCCGTGGGGTGCCCTGTGGGCCTTCCTGGGGCGCGTGGCGGCGGGCGGCGTTTCTAACCTGATGTTGCCTCTGCATCTTTCTCCCTGTCTCTCCCCTCCCCGCGTGCACTGCCTTTCACTCCGTAGTACTTGGGGACACATACAATATTCCTTTAGACCCCCGAGGTAAGCATCGGGGCTCTGCAGGCCCCGCGGGTGAGGTTCCCGGGACAGGGTCCCCCGACTGACTGCAGTGGGTGCCTCCTCCTTCCTCCCGGCTCTCTCTCCGTTCCGCCCTGGCCGTCTCCTGTCTCCGAGCTTGTCTGTGCGGCTCTCTGCTATGTGGCACCCATGCCCTCTCTCCTGCCCCCTTGCCCCCACCCCCGCCTGCTGCCAGCTCTGAGCAGGCTGGTGCCCCCTGTGCGGGAGGGTCCCGGGAGGAGAGGGAAAGGGACAGAAAGTGGGGGGCATGAAAAGCGGCTCCAACACTGGGCGGCTGCCCATGGGCCATGCCAGACTGGGTGCCCGCTGCCCGTCCATGTGGCCGCACCTGCCGCCACCCTTTGCGGGCTTGCTGTGGGCCGTCCAAAGTGTCCTGGGAGTATCCCTGGACCCGGGGGAGGCCCCAGGCCCTGTCGACCCTTTCTCGGGTTGCTCCTGAGCTGAGGGAGGGCCAGAGAAGGTTCTGGACTGACACCACTCACTGGCCTTCTCCTTCCAGAGACCAGTTCCTCGGCCACCAGCTACAGCTCCGAGTTCAGCAGGCGCTTGCTCAGCACCTACATCTGTGAGCCCCGCGCCCCCGCCCTGGGCCCACCCTTCTGGCAGGGGTCACCCTGGGGGCCCACGGTAGTTGAGTCTGAAGTCAGGAGGGGCTTGGAGCTTGGGCGGTCCAGGGGCCACCCCAGGCTTAGATCGTAGCGTCCGAGTGCCATAGGTTCGAGCATGTCCTCCCCCACAGGTAAAGTCTTGGGTAACCTGCAGCTGAACCTGCTGAGTAAGTCAAAGGTGTACGAGGACCCGGCTCTGAGCGCCATCTTCCTGCACAATAACTACAACTACATCCTCAAGGCCCTGGAGAAGTAGGTGGCGTGCACCTGTGGAGGGTGCTGGGGCGTGTGTGTGTCTGTTCAGCGGGAGAGAATGTGTGTGTGTGTGTGTGTGGTGAGGGAGCTGGGGTGTGTGTGTGCAGGGGGGAGGGAATTGGTGTGTGTTTGTGAAGGGTGAGGGGTTGGGGTGTGTGTGTGTGTGGTGAAAGAACTGGGGTGTGTGTGTGCAGGGGGGAGAGAATTGGTGTGTGTTTGTGAAGGGTGAGGGGTTGGGGTGTGTGTGCGTGGTGATCTGTGGGGGGGGTGAGAAAACTGGGGTGTGTGTGAGGGGTTAAGGAACTGGTGTGTGTCTATGTGTGTAGTGAGGGAATTGGTGTGTGTGTATGTGAGGGGTGAGGGGATCCGGGGTGTGTGTGTGTGAGAGGGATGAGGGAACTGGTGTGTGTGAATGAGGGAACTGGTATGTGGAGGGGTTGAGGGAACTGGTGTGTGTGTGTGTGTGTGTGTGTGTGTGTGTGTTTGTGTGGAGAGAACTGGTGTGTCCATGTGTCTGTCCCGTCCAATCCCCTCCCTGACTGGTGTCAAGCAGGCACCGGAAGCCCAGCCCCTCCCTGTCCGCCCCACTCCTGCCCAGGTCTGAGCTGATCCAGCTGGTGGCTGTGACGCAGAAGACGGCCGAGCGCTCCTACCGAGAGCACATTGAGCAGCAGATCCAGACGTACCAGCGCAGGTGGGCGCGGACCCGGGCTGGCATCTGTGTCGGAATCCATGCAGGGGTCGCAGTGGGCGCCTCTGTACAGGGCAGCCTGTGCCAGGGCGACAAGGTGGGCTCCTGGCAGGCCCCGCGGGCACCTGGGGCCCGAGCAAGGCGGCAGGTGCCAAGCGCCAACCCAGCAGAGCTCACCGAGGCCGTTTTCTCTGGCCTCCTACATCTCTGCACGTGTTGTCAGCCCTGTCCCCCACAGCCACTGCTCCACTTCTGTCAGTCACGCCGGAGCTGCTCAGGTGCCCAGAGGGCACTGCGGGGTGCTGGCCATCGACCCTGGGGCTCGGTGGCTTGTGCCTGCTGGTGTTTGCATGGCTAAGAGGGAAGCCAGAGCCGGGTCTGTCCCCAGGAGAGTCCGCTCAGAACGGGCTAATTACTGTCCCGGTCAGAATCTGCCCTTTGCCACCCTTAGTAGATAAAAACCATCATGCATGGGCTCAGCTGAGGGACTGCATGATGCTTGCGTGAGGCCTCCCACCACCACCCTCATCAGCCCTGCGGGCCTCAGGAAGCCTCAGCCGCGTTAAGTGTTCGCCCTGCCCTGCGGTGTCCCCACAGCTGGCTGAAGGTGACGGACTACATCACCGAGAAGAACCTCCCCGTGTTCCAGCCCGGCGTCAAGGTGGGTGGGAAGGGGAGGGAGAGACAGGCTCCTTCTGGGCTGGGGGATGGGAATGGGGCAGGGCCAGGGGCTGGGGATGTGGTCTGCACTGAGGACAGTTTTCTCGACCTCCAGCTCCGGGACAAGGAACGGCAGATGATCAAGGAGCGATTCAAGGTTAGCAGGGGGCCCTTGCTTCCAACCCCCACACTGCTCACTGCCTCGGGCCCATGCAGACCCCAGCCATGTCCCCATTTGCTGCCCAGGGCTTCAATGATGGCCTGGAAGAGCTGTGCAAGATCCAGAAGGCCTGGGCCGTCCCGGACACGGAGCAGAGGGACCGGATCCGCCAGGCGCAGAAGAACATTGTCAAGGAGACCTATGGGGCCTTCCTGCACAGGTGCGCCCGGCCGGAGGGAAGGACAGGGTGGGGGCCTCCTCACAGGTGCGCCCTTGTGGACTGGCTGCTGTGCTTCTGGGCCTGGGGCCCTGGGCAGGGTAGGGGCCAGACAGGGTCCCGCCAGGGCCACCGCACTGGGGAGGGGCGCAGGGCCTGACCCCCGTGCCCTGTGTTATGCCAGGTATGCCAGCGTGCCCTTTACCAAGAACCCCGAGAAGTACATCAAGTACCGCGTGGAGCAGGTGGGCGACATGATTGAGCGGCTCTTCGACACGTCAGCCTGAGTGGCTCTCGGCCCGGAGACGGGCCACGGGGACACATAAAACGTTTCACTTGCCACTGGGCCCGCTGCATCCCCTCCTTTGGGCGCGTCCCAGCCCCCGGATTCTGGGGTTTGGGTACACCTGGCATTTCCCGGCCCCCGAGGCTGGTGGGCAGACGAGACTGGCCCTGTCCAGAGCTGGGCAGAGCCCCCTCCCTGTTCTTGTTTGAAGTGCAGAGCACCTGGAGAAGACATCGCGTCTTCTGTGTTGGCTCCTGTCTTCTCCAGCACCTGCCGCGAGGCGGGAGAGCTGGCGTCTGTCAACTCAGGGGCCTGTGCGTGACGATTCTGGGGTGATGGTTGCGGGGGTCCCCTGCTCGCTGGGAAGGAGGAGCTGAGCTCATGGAGACAGGCCTGCCGGGGGGCTTGCTCAGAGCAGGTTTATTCACGCACCCATGGACATGCTTTCCTGGGCACCGTCCTTCCCACAAAGAACCCCCCAGCCCGGCTAGGTCACATCCGGGGCTGCCCCCCGTGGGGTGCAGCCAGACCAGGGGCGGGGTGAGACCTGCATGTGGCCCAGGCCCAGATGCCCGCGAAGACCAGCTGGCTGCCCAGCACGCCCACCACGTATACCAGGAAGAAGATGTGGTCCGCAGCCTCCAACAGGCTCCTCCAGGGCCACTTTCCTCCTCCTTGGGGAGCCCCTGAGGGGAGAGAGAAGGGGACATTTCCCGGGACTGTTCGGAGCGGAGAGTCGCCTGGGCCCCAGGAGGCCGAGCCTCGGACGGGCAGCAGGGAAGGCACTTGGCTCGCATGCGGCCAGCTTGGGTGTGATCCTGGTACCCACCAGGGTCCTTGAGCCCTGCCGGGGGTGATCCCCGAGTACCAGGGCAGACACGAGAGCGCCCGGGGCCATGCCCACCTTCCGGCCGCGGCGGCGCTGGCTTCTCCGTGGGGCCGGGACCGTTGCTCCGTGCCAGCAGGCCGGTGAGCAGCACGGTCTCTGCGGTGCTGAGGAAAAGCAGGAGCAGCAGCACCGTGAAGTAGTACACTGAGGGGGGGTTTGGGGGGGGCACAGGTCAGGGCTGGCCCAAGGCTCCAGCACCCGGGTGAGGGAGGCCGCGCTTACAGAACACGGGGTTGCAGGAGGAGGAGCTGGGCAGTGCCTGCACCAGGGACGAGTGGAAGACCAGGTAGCCCAGCAGCAGGGTGACCTTGTAGGCAATGCGCTCTGGGGCCCCGAGGGGCAACAGCCCCCCGCACACGTCAGCCAGGAGCAGCGCCTCCCCCGGGACCAGCAGCGCCAGGACGCCCTTGACCGCCGTGTTCTGGAGGCGCAGCTGAAAGGGAGACAAGGGGTAGGGGCAAGGGCAGGGGTGTGCCGGCACCCCGCCCACTCCGACCCCCCCCCCCCCCCCGCCGCTGCTCACCGTCACCTGGAAGCAGGGCACCAGCTGCCTGGGGGGGATCTGAGCCGTCACGTCCTCAACCACGTACTCCCGCTTCACACTCACGATCTGGTTCACGGCATGAACCTGAAACTCCAGCTCCACCGCTGCCGGTGGGGCAGGCGGGAGTGAGCTCAGGAAGATGCAGCCTCCTCTGGTTCCTCTAGGGACCAGCGACAAGTAGGGACCGGCGCCCCCACCCCACTCTTGGTGGAACCACACCTGGTGATGTTCAGGGCTACTTCCTGGCTCTGCACTCAGAAATGACTCCTGAGGGTGCTCAGGGAACCATATGGGATGTTGAGGTTCGAACCCGGGTCCGCCCCATGCAAGGGCAAGCGCTCTCCCTGCTATACTATGGCTCTGGCCCCTATGAAAGTTTCTGGTGGTGCTAGAGAAGGTTTTGGCCTGAGCAAGGATTTCCTAAAGCCTTATCTTGTAACATCCCCCAACGTTTCCTCAAGGAAGGGGCTTAGATGCAAGTTTTCCATTAAATGCACTGAGACCAGGGAGATGGAGCAGGGGACCAGAGCATATGCCGCACACTCAGATCCCCCCATGCACTGGCACATGGCCCCCGCCCCCCAGTGCAGTCTGCCACCAGAGAGCTGTGACCTGCACCCACCAGCACGTCACCTCACACTGGAAATATGGTTCGCAGCAGGAGCCTGGAAGAATGGGAGGGGGCCCGGTCCCACTGGCCGCCTGGGGCGGGGGGTTCTGGGGTCTACCCATTTAAGGTGTCCCTAGGTATAAGGCCACAGTGGCCTGGGTGATGCCATCAGGTCAGCACTGCAGCTGGACCCCTTGGAGGTTGCGGGCAGTTGCTCTAGTGAGGCTGAGTTGGGTATAGAGCCCCGGGGAGCTAGGAGGACCTTGCCGGGCACACATCTGACCCGGGGTCAACCCCCAGCATTGCACATGGTTCCCCTGAGCACTGCCAACAGTGACACCTGAACACGGCTGGGTGTGACACAACCCCCCCACACACACACACACAAAGAACAGGGAGCCAGGAGATGGGGTGCAGGTCACACGCTCTTGCTCCTAGATCTCAGCTTCCCTGACCCCACGCACAATCCTTTGGCCCTCCCTGGCCCAGCCCCCATCCTGGCAGCACCTGAGTTGCTGAAAGCGAAGAAGCTGAGGGTGCAGTTGCTCTGGTCCCGGGGGAAATGCAGGAGCTCCAGGTCACAGTTGGTCTCCATGGTGAGGGCCAGGTAGAGCTCTACGTGGCCGTGACGGTCCACTCGGATCCGGGGACTCTGGTCCTGCCAGTCCACCCAGAGCCTGCCGGGAGGAAAGGCCCCACTGGGCCAGAAGCCCACGCCTCTGCCTGGGGACAGTGGGGAGCCAGAGGGGAGCAAGGACGCCCTGGGTGCTCGGGGGAGGGGCAGGAACCTACGCCTCCTGGATGGTGAGTCCTGGGGTCCAGAGCGAGTCCCAGGGCAGCGAGACCACGTGCCGGGGGTTGCTGCTCGCGTTCCAGGCCAGGCGGGCATCCAGCCAGGACTGGGGGGGTGAGAGGGTATCTCAGGCTCTTGCTCCCCACATCTCCCTGGCCCTTCCTTGGCAGGGGACTGCAGCCAGGCTGCCCGTCCTGCCCTGCCCCCTCCCATATTCACCAGCCGGAGCAGCAGCATGGACGACACGGTGTAGCGCAGGATGTCCTGTGGGACGGGGGCAGCATCTCAGTGGACACAGCTGTGCCCACTCCCCTCCTGCGGGGGTTGGGGGGCTCACCCTCACTCACCACATTAAGGACATTGGTCACAAACACATGCACGTCCATGAGTAGAGGCTCAGTCCCGTTGCTGGGGATCTGGATGGTCTCCTGAGCCTTCTGGGGCGAGTCGTGTTTGAGGAAGGATGGCCAGGCTGAGGGATGGACGCAGAGGTCACCCAGGAGTCCCAGAGTTCGCACCCAAGCACACCCTGTATTCTCCACCTACCGAGCGCCGGCGCCTGGAAGCCCCTACCCAGGACCGAGGATGGCTGTGTGGCGCTCAGCCCCAGGACGGCGAGGGGGAGCAGGAAACTCGGGGCCATTGTGGTTGCATGCGGCAGGGAAGCCTGAGACACAGTTTCTAGTGGAGTCACGACTCCGGAGTGGCTGGGCAGGGGCAGCTGCACAGTGCAAAGTCCCCGAAGCCTGGCATATGAAGCCCCCCCCTCAGTTCCGCAAACACCCGAAGACAAAGGCCAGGGCCGAGCCCAACCTGCCTGCACCTGCCAGCGCCTGGTCCCGCTCCATTTCCACCACCTGGGATGGGTTGCCATGTTTAAGGCACCAAGCGGGACCCAACAAACAGAATCCTCCCCCACCTCCCAACACACACAGGGTCTCGACTCGGTCCTTTCAATCTGACCAAAAAACCTAGTGACCTAGGCCCACTACAAAAAGTGCCTGGTGTCGGGGCTGGAGCAATAGCACAGCGGGTAGGGCGTTTGTCTTGCATGCGACCAACCCGGGTTCGATTCCCAGCATCCCATATGGTCCCCTGAGCTACCGACAGGGGTAATTCCTTTGTGCTGAGCCAGGAGGAACCCCTGTCCATTGCCGGGTATGACCCAAAAAGAAAAAAAAGTAGTGCCTGGTGTTGGGGGCTTGGAGCGACAGTTTGGAGGGCAGGGCTCTTGCCTGGCACTCAGTCGACTCAGGGTCGATCCCCACCACAAGCCACACTAGGAGTAACCCCTGACTGCACAGTCAGGAGGAAGCCCTGAACACGGCAGGGCGGGGCCCCCAAAATAGCAAAAACAAAAATAATGAGCAGACTTCAAAATGCACATCTGGGGCCGGAGAGAGCATAGTGGGAAGATGCTGGCCTTGCCCACGGGACAGACCAGCCTGGAGCCCTGCACTGCACGGGGTTCCCTGAGCACCTCTGGGTGGAAGACCCCAAAATAAAAGTAGAATGCACCTTTCTGTTTACATAGTCGAGTTTTTGGGAGGGGCCACACCTGGCAGCAGGCAGGGTTACTCCTGGCTCTAAGATCAGGGATCACACCCTGTGGGCTCGGGGACCATATGGGTTGTCTGGGATTGAACCTAGATAGGCTGCGTGCAAGGCAAATGCCCTACCCACTGTACTGTTGGTCTGGCCCTAAGGTTTGCATACTCTGTTATCTTAGAGGGGTACCCCTACAGATGTGGGGCGTGCAAGCACAGTTAAAGGCTTTGCAAGCATCTCAGGCAGTCTGGTCCCCTGGGCCACGTGACACAGCCAAGACTCGGTCACCTTCGGACGATGCGGGGAAGGGACAGGGCCCAGGAGGACTGAGCACCCCTACCCGGCGTGACTCTGGCTCCCAGCGCGCCCTCTGAGACTTCTCAGCCTTGGAAGGCGCAGACAGAGCTGGTCTGCTCACAGACGGGGTGCTTCACTCCGGGGGCTGGGCCTCTCCCACCTTCCTAGTCTCGGGGTGGAGGCTGGTGGGGGGGAGGGCATGGAAACATCCCAAAATCCAAAGTCTTTGCCCAACTGTTCCCACCCCATTCTATGCACAGGCCAGAAGCCGGATCCCCTAGCAACGATGCAAGGGGCAAGAGTCCCTGGCCCTTGGGTGGTATTCCTGAGCATTCCCTGTCCCCCCGCCCCGCACCCCGCCCCTCCCCGGGGAGACTTCAAGCACCGATCATTTCCCAGCGATAGAGCGAGCCCCAGTTCAGGGACAGCCGCACACGCGCAGGCGCATTCCGACCGAGCGACGGCGTCCAGGTCCGCCGCGATCCCGTCAGCCCCCGCGGCAAGGGCCGCTCTGTCCGGCCGCGAGCGCCCCGTCTCCTCTATCCCGTCGTGCTCTGCGGCGCAGGGGCAAGATGGCGGCCGAGAAACAGGTTCCCGGCGGCGGCGGCGGCGGCGGCGGCAGCGGCGGCGGCGGAGGCGGGGGCGGCCGCGGCGCGGGAGGAGAGGAGAACAAGGAGAACGAGCGTCCGTCCGCCGGGTCGAAGGCGAACAAGGAGTTCGGGGACAGCTTGAGCTTGGAGAGTATCCTCGGGCCTCGCTCGCAATGACGACGTGTCGCTGAGGCGGGCGGGGGCGGGAAGAGGCGGCGGGTCCCGGCTCGTCTCGCCTCGCCTCGCCGCGGGGGTTCGCGTGGCGACCCTTCTCCTCTTCCTCGTTTCCCCCCCCACCGCCGACCCCCGACCCCGGGTTCGTCGGCAGCTGGCGGCAGGCTGTCCGTCGACGGCCACGACGCTCGGGGCCCCCGCCCCGGAGCCTGAGGCGCGGCGGCCCGGACGTGAGGGAACCGCCGCCGGGGCTGGGCTGCCCCGTGCCTTTTTTTGTTTGTTTTTTTTGTTTCTGCTTTTTGGGTCACACCTGGCGATGCTCAGGGGTTCCTCCTGGCTCTGCACTCAGGAATCACTCCTGGCGGTGCTCAGGGGACCATATGGGATGCCGGGGATCGAACCCGGGTCAGCTGCGTGCAAGGCAAGCGCCCGACCCGCTGTGCTATCGCTCCAGCCCCGCCCCGTGCCTTTTTGTTGTTGTTTTTGGTTTTTTTTTAAATTACTTTTATTTGGGGGGGGGGGGGTCCACAGCCCTCGGAGGCAGTGGACGCGGTGCCGAGCGGGCGCGTCTCCCGGTCCGGCGTGCAGGTTCTGCCTCGAGTCCGGACCCGGGTTCACGGCGCTGATGTCGGTTCAGGTTTTTCCCCAGAGTTAGGGAGGAGAATATCTCGGTTCTGCCACACCTGCTGGCGGTGCTCGGAGGCGACCTCCACTCGGCGGGACCATCTGGGATCGAACCGGGTTGGCCACGCGCAGGGCCGGCGCCTTCCCCCCCCCACCCCCCCTTGCTCCGGGCCCCGGGCCCTGGCATCCAGGGTTTGGGTTTGGCACCAGATCGCGCAACCCGTGAGTTGCGTTGCTCGTGAGCCCGTGTGCCGCTTTGGTGGGGATGGGTAGCAAGCTAAGAACGCAAAGAGTTGATTGGAGTGACAGGCTTTTGGGGCTGGTGCCAGGGTCCTGACCACCCCAGGGAACCTCCTCGGTGTGAAGCCCGCCAGCGCCTGATGATCTGTCATCACACCTTAAGACTGTTCAGCCCTTAAGCGTCTGCCCGTTTATTGTTTTGAACAGGCATTGTTCAAAATATTCAGCATATCAGAATGCCTTGGTTTAGGTCCCTTGTTACCCTGTCTTTTTCGGGAGAGGAGGCAGGGTTTGAAGTTTTTTTTGTTTTTTTTTTTTGTCTAACCTGGAGGTGATCGAGGATCTTTCCTGGCTCTGGCAGAGTCTCAGGAGTGATCCCTGGGGACACTTGGGGGGAAACCTGTGTGGTACTGGGGGGTCACATGGGTCCACCAAGGCAGGTGCCTTAACCCTTACCTCCAGCTCGCTTTGCTGTTCTTAGTTGTTGAAATAGTTCTTTCTGTTTTTGTGGTTTTAAAAATACACCTATAGAAAGTTAATTGAGGACTTTTTTTTTTTTTAGCTTTTTGGGTCACACCCAGCTATGCACAGGGGTTACTCCTGGCTCATGCACTCAAGCATTACTTCTGGCAGTGCTTGGGGGACCATATGGGATGTCGGGAATTGAACCCGGGTCGGCCGTGTGCAAGGCAAATGCCCTACCAGCTGTGCTATTGCTCCAGCCCCTAATTGAGGAAATTTTAAAGGGAAAATGAAACTGTGGATAAAAATCACTGAACTTCCAAATGTTTGGTATGTTTTTTGAGGGGGAACCACTTCTGGCTCTGCTCAGGAATCTCTTGCTCTGCGCTCAGGGATCACTCCTGGTAGGGCTTAGGGGACCGTATGGGGTGTCTGGAATTGAACCCAGCTGGGCAGCATGTGAGGCAAGTGTCCTGCCCTCTGTATCTCCCAGGCCCCTGATACAATTACTGTTTCAAGTGTTTTAAGATTCTTTGGAAAAATAAAAGAAGGCTGCTGGGTGGGACTTTTTCTTTTAAAAGAAAACTGCAATAATTTGGTGCACCGATCTGGCTTGGCAGGTGTGCCTCACTTGTTGGCCCCTGCAGCTTCACCGCTGGTGACGAAACAGCCTGGTGGGGGAACCTCGTGCCACCAGCAAACCACACCGCACACCTCATTACAGCCTGATTCTGCATGAATGAGTAAACCAGTGGAAAGCACCCCAGTTCCAGTCAGCGTGTGGGACTTAGCAGCTTTGTTGAAGCTGTTGGGGTTCAGCAGTCCTCACTTGCCCGGCATGCCCACCTTCCCTGTGGACTCTGCCTCAGCCTGCGTGTTCTGAATAGAATTCCCGGACATTTCCGGGTGTGCTGATACTTTAGAACTGTCGAAGAGGCTGTGATGTGACCCGGTGGGGCTAGGGGTGGGCCGGGGGGGTCGGTTTGCTGTGGCCGCTTCCTTAACCCTGCTCCAGTTCTCCAGATCATTAAGGAGTCTCAGCAGCAGCATGGCCTGCGGCATGGAGACTTTCAGAGGTACAGGTGAGTCGTGCCTGCAGGATGGCGGGCGGCCATGGTGGGGTTCCCAAGCTCACTATGGCAGATGCCTGAGGACTCTGCCTGGGAATGCCTGTTGCCCTCCAAGGATACTTTCTTTTCTTCCTTTCTTGTATTTCACAGGAGGCATGATTTTTGTTTTAGTGTTTGGGCCACACACCGGCACTGGCCAGGGCTTGGTGCTTAGCTCTGCGTTCAGGGATCACTCCTGGTGGGGTTGGGCTAGCACTGCTGGAGATGAAATCGGGTTGGCCATGTGCAAGGCAAGCACCCATGAAAACATGTTTTTTGTTTGTTTGGGGGGATGCACCTGGTGGTGCTCAGACCTTACTCCTTATTCTGCATCCAGGGATCACTCCTGGCGGGTTCAGGGGACCATGTGGAGTGTTGGATAGAACCCAGGTCAGCTGCCTGCAAGGCATGTGCCCTACCTATCGCTCTGGCCCCTGGGCGGTGCTTTGAGTCACTCCCAGAACAGGTGATGTGTTGTGTGGGAACTAGAACAGGCCTGTCCTCCAACCCTTTCCCTGGCCCCTTTTAATAATTTGTGCTGGGGACACGGGGGTGGGGGTGGGGGTGGCATCTTGCACATTTCCAGGCCACATTGAATCCCTGGCACACCTTATGGACCCCCCCCCCCAAGCCTCACCCAAAGTGATCCTTAAGTGCAGAGTCAGGAATAAGTTCTGAACATGACCAAATGTGGCCTCTTCCTTCCCCCCCTGTGCCCTGATAGCCTTAAGGCTGAGAAGCTGAAGTAGCATTTAAATAACATTTTAAAAAATTACCAATATTATTTGATTTGGGGTTAGTACATTTTTTATACATATTGATACAAACTTAGTCAAAATACACATATTGAAAATATGCCCAGTCTCTGCCAGGGTATTGGGCTTAATCTAAAAATAGAATTATCTGGGGAGGGCAGAATGATAGTACAGCAGGTAGAGCATTTACTTTGCATGCAGCCGACCCGGGTTCAAGCCCCAGAATCCCATATGGTCCCCAATACCACCAGGTGTAATTCCTGAGGGCAGAACCAGGAGTAACCCCTGAGCATTACCAGGTGTGACCCAATAAACCAAAAAAGAAAAGAGGGGCTGGAGCGATAGCACAGCAGGTAGGGTGTTTGCCTTGCAGGTGGCCAACCCAGGTTTGATTCCCAGATTCCCAGCATCCCATATGGTTCCCCGAGCACCGCCAGGAGTAATTCTTGAGCGCAGAGCCAGGAATCACCCGTGAGCAGTGCCGGGTGTGACCCAAAAGGCAAAAAATATATATATATATATCTGAGACCTGGAGTGATAGTACGGTGGTTAAGGTGCTTTCCCTGTACATGGCCTACCTGGGCTTGATCCCTGGCATCCCATGTGGTCCCCCGAACCTGCCAGGAGTGATCCCTGATTGCAGAGCCAGAAGTAAACCCTGAACATTGCTGTGTGTGGCTCAAACACCAAAAAACTAAAATGCAGTCGTTTGGTGCTGGGGAGGTAATTCAAAAGGCTGAGCACATGCTTTGCATGCAGGAGGCTCAGCTTTGATCTCCACTACCACATAGTCCATTCCTCCACCTCCACTGCCAGCTCCATCAGCTCCAGCTCATGAGCACTGAGTCAGAAGGAACTCCCAGTACCACCAGCTAGGGCCCCAAAATAAAGAATAGGGGCCAGGAGATAGCTTAGGGGGATAGTGCATTAGTGCACGTGAAATACCAGGATTTAAGCCCCTGAGAATTTTTGGGAGTGACTCTCCCACCTCCTACCCCACTAGGTGTGACCCCAAAACCAGAAATATCCTTGTGTTGAAGGAGTGTCCGTTACCAGCCAGACCTGTCAGAATATGCCGTCTGATCAGAGTGAAGCTGTGTGGGTGCAGAGTGGGATCTGGCCTGACGGCGCTCCCAACACCCTTTTTCAGTGCCCTGCTTGCCTGCTCTCAGCCCCCTTGGCCCTCAGAGCCCTAACCTCTGTGCGACTCTTTAGCCCAGACTGCAGCTGTGCACGGCCGCCGCCCCCACCAGAGGGTGACTTCTCTGGGGTCAGATACTCCTCACCATCACCCTGTTTCCAGTGGATGGGAGACGGGTGCCTGTGGCCTGGAGTCCAGCTCCCCCAGCTTCGGCCCTCCCTGGCTGGACTCTCCCTCCCCAGCAGCCTGTTTGTGGTTTCTTGCAGGGGCTACTGTTCCCGCAGACAGAGGCGACTCCGGAAAACACTCAACTTCAAGATGGGGAACAGACACAAATTCACGGGGAAGAAAGTCACTGAGGACCTTCTCACCGATAATAGGTACAGGCTCTGCTTCCGGCCTGCGTGTCTGGGGGCCCACAGGAGGAGAAGGTCAGGACCTGTCCGGGACCCGAGTGGCTGGCGGTGACAGCTGAGGCTCCGGGGCAGCTGAGTTGGGGAGTTGGGGTGTCTTGGCTGCAGCTGCTCCTGGCTCTGGGTGTTGCTGCAGGGGTTTGTTGGGGGCTGAGGCAGCCAGGTGTGGCCTCTGCTGAGGGGAGAGCTGCCCGCCCCGTCGGAGAGCCTCAGACTGCTTCTCAGCTGCAGCCACTGGCCAGTGTCCTACTGCTCCCAAGGACAGCAACACTGTCTGCAGGTGTGTTGGGACACAGGCCACCAAGAGCTTGTTTGCAGGGTATCTACCTGATTGTGTGTTTCACTTGCCGAGATGCTGTGACAGACCACATGGCCCAAACCTGAATCAGTTACTGCGGGCCGAGACTGGGCGGAGGGGCCTTTCACCAGCCCGAGACTCAGGGGGGTCTGACTTTATAGGAAATCATTACTTAGGGGCAGGGGGCCTTCATGAGAGTTGTTTGCTGTCCGCTGATCAAGTGTGTGGCCAGGAGGGTGTTTTGACACCATAGTGAAAGTGGAAGATTTGGTTTTAGTGGTGCCACACTTGGTGGTGCTTGGGAGGCCGTGCAGGCTAGACCAAGCTCTGCGGCTTGAACCATCTTCCTGGCTCAGGCATGTTTTTGTTTCCTGGGTCTCCCAAGTGATGCTCAATAGCCCAGGGCTGGTGGCAGGGGCTCCAGATGATTCTCTGACAACCAGGCTGGTGGATCTGTGCAAGCACCCCAAGGGTGTGGGGCTGCAGGCCCTGCAGTGCCCATGGTCACCCAGGCCACCTGGATACAGAGGAGAAGGCACTCACCTGGTGCATAGCTGGCTGGGTTTGTTTCTGGCACCCCCATATGCATTCCCTTCCCCAGCCCTACCAGGAGTGAGCCCTGAACACAGGGGAGTGTTGCCCAAAAAAGAAAAATCTTCCTGGGCAGTACTTAGGCAACCCCCAGGTCTGTACCCAGTGGTGCTTGGGGGGACCACCGGAATTGGGAGTTGGTTGCATGCCAGGCAAGACCTTGACCCCTCTGCTATCTGTGGCCCACAGCACTGGTTCTTGACCCTCACTGACCCTTCTGAGGTGATGGTGAGCACCAAGTCCAAGATGGCAAGAACACCATATTACGTGTCACTTACTCTCCAGAATTCCGAAGGCTTGGAAGGGAGAAGTAGCTTAAGGGTGCTTGACAGGCAACCCAGGAGACCTGTGTGGAGGAGGCTGAATCTGGAAGGAGTTGTGAGTGGAGGACCACTGTGTCCAGGGGAGCAGCGTGCCAAGGTGTGTGTGAACACCCCTTTGCTCTGCTCAGGCGGTGAAGGGTCTCCAAGTTTGAGGGACAGAGACACACATTAGCCAGAGTATAGGTTACGGCGGGGTGTACTGATGAAAGCTAATGAGCCCAAATCAGATGAATTTCTCAGGATGGTGAGGCCTTTGGATGGATGTGGGGTAAAGTGGATGGATCAAGTCTCACAAGGCTTACCCCAGTACTGCGGCCAGCCAGAGCACCCGCCCATCCTCCTTCCACTTTCTTTCTTTTTGCTCTTTCCTTATTAGGGCTCCGCAGGCCCCCACATCCCACCCCCCTCACGGTACACTGCCTTCCCAGCCCAGGGAGCACTAATGATCTCCTTGCTGCTTGAGGGGCGAGCGAGGCACGGGAAGTGGGCACTGATCCAGTGTCACACAGCTGGGCGCGGGGGCGACACTGAAGAGTCCCATTAGGCTCTCGAGAATCTATTTGTGTGTTTCTGGCTTAGGGTCACCCTGAGTCCTGACCCTGCTCCATATTCGGGGACTGTGGTGTGGGGTCGGACCTGGGCTCCTGTGTGCAGCTGGTGCTCAGCCTGCTGTGCTCTCTTTGGCCCTGCGGCAGCCTTATTTTTAGTTTTGTTTTTTGGTGTTGGGGGTCACACCCAGTGGTGCTTAGGGCTACTCCAGACTCTGTGCTCAGGGATTACTCCTGGCAGGCTCAGGGGACCTTATGGGGTGCCGGGGATTGAACTCGGGAGGGCTCCATGCAAGGCCAGCACATCCCCGCTGTACTCGTGCTCTGGCCTGAAAGCCGCCTTCTGTTTCCAGTATTTGGTTCTTGAGGCCAGAGCTAGCACGGGCTCATGCACTGGCCCTGCATGTAGGCGACCCCAGGTCTTTTCACAGCACCCCCGAGTCTCCTGAGTACTGATGCCAGGAGCGAGCCCTGAGCACTGTGGGCTATGGCCCAAACCACTCCCCTCCAAAATAGGAAAGGATTTGATTTCTAACTGGGTTGGCCGCGGGCTGGTTGCTTTTGGGATGAGTCCTGAACTGCCCGTGCTCCGTCTCTATGGGGCCGTGGGGCCGTGCTGGAGGTGCCTCGGCTTCCCTGGGAGGGAGACAAGTGGGAGGAGCTAGGTTCGGGGTAGAGGCAGGGCCTGTGTGGCCCTGCCCATATGGCCTACCTACCCTTCTCTCCCGGTAGGTATCTGCTGCTGGTGCTGATGGACGCTGAACGGGCTTGGAGCTACGCCATGCAGCTCAAGCAAGAGGCCAACACGGAGCCCCGGAAACGCTTCCACTTGCTGTCACGCCTCCGCAAGGCCGTGCAGCACGCGGAGGAGCTGGAGCGTCTGTGTGAGAGCCGGCGTGTGGATGCCAGGACCAAGCTGGAGGCACAGGTCAGCAGCTCACAGGGGTGCTGCTGTGGGGGCAGTTGGACCCTTGGGTTTGTTTGTTCTCGGGGCCACACTCAACAGGGCTCAGGGTCATCCTGGGTGGGTCTAGGGGCCCTCTGCAGTGCTGGGGATCAAGCAGAGTCAGCTGCGTTCAAGGCAAGTGTATTCCTGGCCCTAAGGAGTGGAAATTGTAGATAGGAAAAAGGAAAGTATTTGCGGGGCTGGAGACGTAGAACAGCAGGGAAAGTGCTGGCCTGGCATGTAGCTAAACCGGGTTTGGTTTTCCCCCGGCACCACATATGGTCCCATGAATCCTGGGACTGGAGCAATAGGACAGCAGAGAGGACATTTGCCTGGCATGTGACCAACTCAAGTTTGAACCCTGGCACCCCACATGGTCCCCTGAACTCTCCCAGAGTGATCCCTCAGCACAGAGCCATGAGTAAGCCCTGAGCCTGGTCAGGTGTGACCCAGAAATAAAAACAAAAGCAAAGAGCATGGAGGGTGGGCTGGAAAGTAATTCAGGGGCTGGGCACTCTCCTCGCATGGGACCATCCTTAGTTCACTCCCTGCACTGCGTTTGCTTCTCTAAGCCCCACTGGGGTGAGCCCTGAACACTGCTGAGAGTCTCTAAAAGAACCAGAAATTTAAGCCAGGAATGTCGCCCGGCGGTAGAGCGCTGCTTTCCATATGTGAGACCCTGCCCTGGGTTTGATCCCCAGCACTGCAAATGAAAGTAAAGAGGAGAAAGTCATTTCATTAGTAAGCTATGATACCTCAATATTTTGTTATGATTCATTTACTTCCAAGAGAGATCTTTATTTTACTTAACTATGTCCTTAGCTGTGATACAAGTATTAGAAATTGAATATAGGGAGGCCAGAATAATAGTACAGCCGGTAGGGCGTTTGTTTGCAAGTGGCCGGTCCAGGTTTGATCCCTGGAATCCCATATGGTCCCTGAGACGACCAGGAATAATTCCTGAGTAACTCCTGAGCACTGCCTGGTGTAACCCAAAAACCAAAAAGACAGTTGAGTATAAACCTGTAACAGCCATCGTCTCTTTTAAAAATTGATTTTAGAAAAATCGAGAATGGGCCAGTGTAGAACATGTGTCTCACATACATGAGGCCCTGGGTTTGATTGCTGGCACCAAAAAGGAACACATTTCTCAGAAGATGCCAACTTTCCTTCTATGTATTAAAGGACACCATATTGAAAGTGGAAGATTGGGTTTTAGTGAAGGCGCAGAGGACAGACAGGAACACCTGCCTTGTAAGCGAAAAACGGTCACAGGTTGGATTCCCTGGTGCCCCACATGTACCAAGTCCAGTCCTTGCAGCTGTGCTCTGGAATCCCTGGTCTCCCAAGCGATTTCAAACTCACTGCACCATAAAAAGTGTGATCTGAGAGCACCACAGCCAGAAAGGGCCCCTCAGCAAGCACCCCAAACCTATGCATGACCCCTAGGGAGTAAAGCTGCTCACAGATGGTGTGAGGAGTTAGAGCAATAGCACATCGGGGAGGGTGCTTGCTTTCATGCAGCGAATAAAGGTTCAAGCCCCGAGCACCTCCAGGAGTGATTCCTTAGTGCAGAGTCAGGAGTAAGCTCTGAGCATCGCCAAATGTGACTCAAAAGCCAAAGAAAATTGGAGCGCAAGCCCCCCAGTCAGTCATCTCAGCAGCAGACAAGTGGAGGGGAACAGGGCAGGGTCAGCTAACCTTAAAGACTTCTTTTTCAAGTTAAAATTAATACAATGGGGCTAGAGAGAGAGCATGTCAGGGCAGGCACTTCCCTTGCATGTGGATGATTTAAGTCTGACCCTCAGTGCCCCGTATGGTCCCTTGAGCCCTCCCAGGGGTGATCCTTGAGGGCAGAGCCAGGTGTGAGTCCTGAGCACTGCTGAGTGTGACCCCAACCATGCCCAAAAACTTCAAAAAACAAAACAATTATCTTTCCCATCAATTTATAATGTAGAAAATAGATTTTTATTTTCTATTTTCCTGACTACCCCACCGTAGTGTTTCTGCTTTGGTTTGGGGCCAGTTGGTGGTGCCTGGCCATGCTTGGGGGCCCTGTGTAGTGTAGGGTCACCTTGCCTCCCACATTGAAGCATGAGCTCCAGCCCTTTGCGCTCTGGCTGGCCCTAACTGTGGTGTCGGCTTGAACCCCAGGTCTCATGTGTGAAGCGTGTTCTACCACTTGAGCGATCTCCCTGGGACCCCAGATATCATGGTTTTTTTTTTTTTTTGTCAGTCTAGGTTTTTGGTTTGGGGGCCAGACCTGGCAGTGCTCAGGACTGACTCCTGGTTCTGTGCTCAGGCTCACTCCTGGCGGTAGTGGCCCTAAAGCAAGCAGGCGCCTTCCCGCTGTGCTGTCTGCCCAGATGTGTCCTTTCAGACGCAGCCAGGTAGCTCTACTATCTTTGGATCGGGCTGCGGGTTTGGGCTATGCCCAGTGGTGCTCGGGGCTTACTCCTGGCTTTGTGCTCAGGGATCACTTGTGGCAGGCTCGGGGGACCGTTTGGGGTGCTGGGAATTGAGTCCAGGCCAGCTGTGTGCCAGGCAAACGCCCTCCCCGCAGTCCTGTCGCTCAGCCCCAGATCATGCTGTGCTCCTGACGGTGGGGAGAGGTTGAGCACGGTGCGCGTTCCCTCACCCCGCAGGCGTACACTGCTTACCTCTCTGGAATGCTGCGCTTCGAACACCAGGAGTGGAAAGCTGCCATCGAAGCTTTTAACAAGTGCAAGTAAGTCCTGCAGCCCAGCGGCGGGGGAGGCTTTGATTTGAGGGGTGAGGATGGCACTGGTGCAGGCGGAGTCGGCCCCCTTTGGTCTTTCCCTTTGGAATCTGGTGATTCTCTCGCGTCCTCAGAATGTGCCAGTCAGTTCTGTCCCATTGGCTGCTGTGTTGGGTCTCGAGCCGCATCTCTTGTGTGAGTTGCTTTCTAATAAACAGCTTCGCACCCGCTCTTTCTTTCTAGAACCATCTATGAGAAGCTTGCCAGCGCTTTCACCGAGGAGCAGGCCGTGCTGTACAGGCAGCGCGTGGAAGAGATCTCGCCTAACATCCGCTACTGCGCCTACAATATCGGTGAGCATGCGGGAGAGCGGCATTCCCCGCGCCCGCCCACACCCAGCCCCAGGGCCGTTTCCGGGGCTCTGTCAGCCCCCCCCACCCCGTCTCTGCTCCCCCCACTGTCTGTGGTGCTGAAGGGGAAGGAGCGCTCCACAGTGCAGGGCTGGGGAGAACACACGAGACTCCTGACCCGCTTTTTTCCCACCAGGGGATCAGTCTGCCATCAACGAACTCATGCAGATGCGACTGCGGTCTGGGGGCACGGAGGGCCTCCTGGCCGAAAAGTTGGAGGTAATCTTGGGTGTGCAGTTCGGAAAATCTCAGGCGAAAGTATTTGTACTCCTCAATTCCATTATCCAGGGATCGTTGCTCTAGGGCAACATATAGGGCTGGAGCGAAAGTACAGTGGCCAACTGGGTTTGGTCCCTTGAGCTTCGCCAAAGTGATCCCTGAGTACAGGGTCAGGAATAGCCCCTGAGCATTGCCAAGTTTGGGCCAAAACCCAAAAATAAAAGATAAATATGCATAGTTGAACCGGGGTTTTAACCTTAAAAAAATTTTTTTTTGGTTTGTTTTTTGTTTTGGGGTGGTAGGAGGTCTCCCTGCAGTGTCAGGGACTGAACTCGGGTCCCACGGAACTCATGCTTCATACTGTTAACGTACTTTTTGCTGTGTCTTTGTCATACCTCATTTTTAAGTTATACTGGTACAACTGGGGGAGAAAGATTCACGGGCCAGAAAGATAGTACAGTGGGGAAGGTACTGGCTGTACATGCAAATGACTAGGGTTCAATCTGAGCAGCGCCAGCAGTAATTTCTGAGCCCAGAGTTAGGATTAGCCCTTGTGCGTCTTTTGGTATGGCTCAAAAAATAAATTAAGAAAAAGTTCAAATGGGTTATGTCCCATTTCTTTGCAAAAAACTTTGGCATAAAATCTGATTATTATAAAGTGAACTGTGGTGTCTCTCCAGCCCTAAATCAACAGTAGCACTGTCCTCCCATTGTTCATTGAGTTGCTCGAGCAGGTACCAGAGCAGGCACCAGTAGCGTCTCTGTTGTGAGACTTGTTACAAATCAACAGTAACTTTCTTAATTTTTTCTGTATATCTGTTTAATATTCAAGTTTCCATAAACTAAGATGTATGGTACCAAGAAGGAACTAACTTGTTTTATTTGGGGAGGGTCGTACCCACCATTCCTCAGGGGTTACTCCTGGCTTAGTGCTCAGGGTCTGTGTGATTTCAGGGATTGAGCCTTCTACATGGAAAGCACATACTCACTTTATTGAGCTCTATCTCCCCACACTCAAGGAGGAATTAAAATACAGAATTGCAAGCCAAAGAGATAGCATAGAGGAGGCTGCTTGCCTTTCCTGTGGCCAACTCTGTTTCTGATTCTGGTACTGCACAGGGTCCCCCAAGCACCTCTAGAATTGATCTCTGAGCATCATGTCAGGAGTGAACCCTGAGCACTGCTGGTTAGGACCCCCAAACCAAAAACTGTGTGTGTTTGTGTAATTGATGAAGTTAATCTAAGGCGTGGTATGTAAGTTACAGAAGACAAATTACGGTTTTTAATTTCACCTGGGATGGATCCATAGTTTAAGCTTGAACTTGCTAAACCTACTTTGCAGGCCCTGATCACGCAGACCCGAGCCAAGCAGGCGGCCACCATGAGCGAGGTGGAGTGGAGAGGGAGGACAGTGCCGGTGAAGATCGACAAAGTCAGGATCTTCCTGCTGGGGCTAGCTGACAATGAGGCAGCCATCGCCCAGGTAAGGAGTGCCTGGGTGACCTGTCTGTGGGTGTCCTTGTGTTTGAAGATGTCATGGGTTGGGTTTGGTCTTTCTGGAGTGGGGGCAGAGTCACACCTGGTGGTACTCCTGACCTGCTCTTGGCTCTGAGCTCAGGGACCACTCCTGGCAGGGCTCAGGGTTGCTGGGGATTGAACCCACGTCGACTGCTTGCCTTGTATGTGCGCTGTCCACTGTGCTGCCCCCTGTCCCCATGGTGTTGAGTTTTATTGCTGTTCACCCCTCCCTAAAGAGAAGCTGCTCTGAAGCTGGCTTTGGTGACTGTCTCAGGATGTACTCTTATTTGTTTTGTTCTTTGGACCACAGAACGTGGTACTCGGGGCTTACCCCTGGCAGGGCCGGGGATTGTACCCACATTGTGTGCGTGCAAGGCAAGCCCCTGACCCGCTGTACTAACTCTCTGGGCCCAAGTATGTACCTTTTTTTTTTTCTTTCTGCTTTTTGGGTCATACCTGGCAATGCACAGGGGTTACTCCTGGCTCTGCACTCAGGAATTACTCCTGGCAGTGCTTGGGGAGGACCCTATGGGATGCTGGGAATCGAACCCAGGCCGACCGTGTGCAAGGCAAAGGCCCTACTAGCTGTGCTATCGCTCTGGCCCCCGGTATGTACCTTTTAAATAAACTTACTTTGAGAACTGAGTTTTGGGGTCTTGGATTTAGAGGGCAGAGAAGTTTGTCACACCAGTCATCGGCAGTGGGAGCATGAGAAGTGGCTGCCAGTGAGACTTGCTCGTGGCCCAGCAGGTGGTGCAGCAGCCTCTCTCATGGGCCTTCGTGCTCCCTGGCCCTTCCAGAACCAGAATAACTTGTTCCTTGTGTGGTACAAATGAGCTCAGGCAAAGCTGTAGTAATTGATGTTGCTTGCTGACGTGATTGTTAGCCTTTGGGGTTGTGAACAACCAACGAAGACCCTTGGGGCTGGCGAGCTAGTACAGTGGCAAAGAGGCTTGTCCGCCACACAGCTGGCCCCTTCAGTTCCCCCGAACCCAACCGGGAGTTACCCCTGAGCTTGGAGCCAGGGAGAAGTTCTGAGCACTGCTGGGTGTGGCCCCCATACAAAACAAATCATGGAAATTGCTGGCGCTAGTCTGTCAGGGTTGTTCAGCGCAGCTGGGTTCCTGTCCCAGCTCCTGCACTTTCCCCGTTGACCAAGCCTCTCCTAAAATCAGCTCATTGGGAACCTACGAGGCTTTCTCCTGCTCCCACCCCATTGTGTCACACCCAGTGATGCTCAGTGGTTACTCCTGGCTCTTCACTCCACAGTCACTCCTGGCTGTGCTTGGAAGATCATATGGGATGCCAGAGATTGAGCCCAGGTTGGCTGCCTGCAAGGCAGATGTCCTACGTGCTGTACTATTGCTCTGGCCCACTTAAGAATTTTTTTGTTCAGTTAGTTGGGGGCCACATCTATTGGTGCTCAGTGCTCACTCCCAGTCCATGCTCACCATCACTCCTGGTGGGGCTTGAGTGCCAGGATTGAACCTTCGTTGGCTGCATGCAAGGCAAAAGTCTTACCCGCTGTCTCTATGGCCCCCTAATCATTTAAGAGTTTTGCTTCAGTTTTCTTGAGCTGTTGGGATGTGTAATTTTCCTTTCTTTTTTTGGATGGCACCCAGGAATTCACATATACAAAGCAAGAGCTTGATCACTGAGCCACATCCTAGCCCGTAATAGTCTTGTATTGTCTTTTTCAGGGTTTGATTTGTTTGAGTGGTGTATGAACCTCCTAACTCAGGTCTGGAGACTACCTCCTCTGTTGCTGAAGGAGTTTGTATGATGTCAGTTATTTCCCCCTTAAATGCTGTGATTTGGCAGTGAAACCATTGGACCTGTAGTTTTCATGGAGAGAAGTTGGTTGGTTTGGTTTTTGCAGTGCTGGAGGGTCGAACCCAAGGCCTCCCACAGGCAAGGCTGGGACTGTCGCGCCATCTCGTGATAGGCCCTCATCTGTGTGCAGTGTAGTGTCTTGTGTTGGTCTCTGTGTGTCTCAGACCTACAGGCAACAGGGTAGATGTGAAAGACATAGATCAGAGTGAGTCCAGGGAGTCGGGGAAGGTTTCACATTAAAAACAGTTAAGGGGAGCAGGAGTGATAGTACAGTGAGGAGGGCATTTGCCTTGCATTCAACCAACCCAGGTTCGATCTCTTACATCCCATCGGTCCCCTGAGCATTGCCAGGAGTAATTCCTGAGTACAAAGCCAGGAGTAATGCCTGAGCACCTCCGGGTGTGACCCCCACCCCCCAAAAAAGAGAGACAAGTTTAGACATTCATTCATCCGACTAAAAATTAGTAAAATAAAAACAAGGTCTGGGGCCAGAGAGATAGGACAGTGGGGAAGGTGCTTGCCTTGTACGTCTGACCTGATTTTGATTCCTGTCACTCCCAGTAGTGACCCCCGAGCACCGAGCCAGAAGTATGCCCTGAACTCAGCCAGATGTGGCCCAAAAAGGAAAAGAAAAAAAAAAAAGTAAGACCAGGATGTACCTCAGTGGTAGAATCTGCTTATCTGTGTTAAACCCTATGTTAAACCCTAGCTTTGATGCCCGGCACCAAGAACTCAAGGAAGGCTCCTCTTAGGTGTGGTCATCATCTGGCTCCGAGTGTGACCACTCCCTGCACTGAACGATATGGCCCTATGCTTGACTTGGGGGCCACACCAGTGGGCTTCAGGATCTTCTTTTGGCTCTCTGCACAGTAGTCATTCCTGGTGGTGCTTAGGTGACCATATGTGGTGCCAAAGATCAGCTGAGGGTTGAGTGCCTGCACAGGAAGCGCCCTGTACTCTCTGCAGTCTCTTCACGCCCCCTCCCCCAATTAATTCCTTTATTTCAGCCAAGTAAATTTCCGTGAATAGTCTCCCATCTAAATTACCAAGCAGTTCGTCTTCCTTTAACGCTGATGAAGCAGCACTTTCTCTTCAAAGTGGAATGATGTGGAAATAGAACAGATGCCAAATATCTGCCAAGCCCTTTCGGAAGCTTGAATAAAGGGACCTCATTTCTCTGCCCAGGATACCCTCTTCCCCTGAAAGGCGGGTACAGCTGGGGAAGGCATCCACCCCACCCACCAGGCCTCTCAGGTTGGCAGGAATGCTCAGCTGCCCACATGTCATGGTGGAGTCACTGCTTGTACTCCGGGAGCCCCCATCCCTGCAAATGCTTCCTCAGCAGGACAGAGGGCCCTGGCTGGTGACGGCTCTCATGTAGGAGTGTAGAGAAGTTCAGCCTCTACAGTTTTGGGGGCTCACCACACCCGCTGACTCTCAGGCCTTACTCCTGGGTCTGCGCTCAGGGATGACGCTTGGTCTGCTTGGGGGACTGTGTGTGGTGCCTGGGACTCGAATCTGGGTTGGCTGCGATGAGGCAGCAGCTCACCTCTGTATCTCTCTTCAGTCCCTACATTGTTTCTAAGCAAGTTAAGTGCCTAGTGCCCCATATCACACACCACATCTGTACGAAAGGGAAATAATTCAGTACTGCGTCTCTGTTAAATCTTTAATATCAGGTTTAGCACTGTAGGTGATTAAATCTCTCTTGAATCGAGTGAATCATGGGTTATTAACCCTGGAAAGTGCCCTTTAGCCCGTGGAGGTTAATCCCCAAAGAAGCCCTGGCCGGGGCGTGTCGCGCCTTACCAGTTCTCCATGCCTGCATTGTTCCTCTTTAGGGACACCCGGAGTTTCTTAAGAGCTGCAGTGTTCTTGATTTCGGGGTCGGCCTCAGCTGGCGTTGATAGTTCCTCTGTCTAGGAACAAGGCTGCAGGAACCGGGAGCCGCACTCATTGCTGCCTTGAAGGGGTTTTACGCTGGTTTCTTCTTTGGTTTTGGTGTGTTTTTTTTTTTAATCTATTTTTGGTGCCGGAACCCCGTAGTGTTCAGGGCTTACTCCTGGCTCTGTGCTCAGGGATCAGTCCTGGAGGGGCTGGGGGAACCCTGGTGGGGTTGCTAGCGATTGAACCTGGGTCACCTGTGTGGAGGTCAAGCGCCCACCTGCTGTGCTGTCTGTCCGCCCCTTCATGATGGCAGGAACGCTTAGCTGCCCACATGCACAGGGATCTGGGAGGCAGTGCAGTCGTTGACTGACTTTGCACACGCCCTGCCAAGACACAATGATGCTGGAGCACTGACGGGAACACCCTGGAGGTCCTAGAGCACCGCCAGGGTTACTGACTCCACAGGGCCAAGCAGCACCCTCAGCCCTTGCAGAGGAAGCTCTGGCTCCCTGAGCTGAGCACCCCTTGTGAGGGAGGCCCCCTGCCCCCAAATACACAGGTCTAGTCAAGTGAGAATATATCCTCACCTGCCAGAGATGATCCTGATGACTCCAGTGTAAACAGTGAGGCCCCCCCGCAAGAGAGCACAGCAGGAGGGCACCTGCCTTGTTCTATCCCTGGTATCCCATATGGTCCCTGAGTGCAGAGCCAGCTGAGGCCCCCAAACTAAAACCACACACACACAAAAACTTCTTTAAAAATAGATACGTTTGGGGCTGGAGAGATAGCACAGCGGGTAGGGCATCTGCCTTGCACGCGGCCGACCCGGGTTCAATTCCCAGCATCCCATATCGTCCCCTGAGCATCACCAGCCATCAGGAGTAACTTCTGAGTGCAGAGCCAGGAGTAACCCCTGTGCATCGCCAGGTGTGACCCAAAAAGCGAAAAAAAAAAAAAGTTTGAGGTTTTATTTATTCTCAGGTCATGGCTCATTGGGGGTACCTGGTTGGGTTTTTGATTCATACTGGCAGTTCTCAGTGGCGAGTCCTGCCTCTGTGCTCAGGAGTGAGTCTTGGCAGCGCTGGTGAATATGTACTGTCTGTGTTGGCAGTGTAGCAAGACTGGCACCTCAACCCCTTCCTTTTGGACCACATCCAGCTTTGCCCAGGGTTTACTCCTTGCTCTGTGTTCATGTTTCTCTCCTGATAGCGCGCAGGGAACCCTGTGTGGTGCTGGGAATCGAACCCAGGCACTGGCTTCGAATGGATGCCTGCCCTGCTGAGTGCATTATCCCCCTAGCTGCAGCACCGTAACCTTTGTGCTGCTCCTCCCCTTCCCCCACGCCGGTCAGTGTTAGCATGAGTTAGTCCCGAGGTTCGCTTCCGCCTGGTGCAGGTTTCTGTGGGCCGGGTGAGGCTTGGTTCTCATCCCCGGGGTTCTCCTGCGGGTGTGGTAGAGAATGTAGTCAGACTTGCCCGGTGTGTGCCTTTCAGTCACATTACTACCTTCCCGTAGTTTCTGTAGCACGGTGGAAAGAGTCTGGGGACTGTTTCTCATGTGGGGGTCCAGGCCTCAGTACCTGCACACAGCCGTGCCTGGTCCGGTGCAGTCCGCCCCGAGCCCCGGAGGCTCTTCGGTCCTTCCACACCCCTCTGCAGTGTGCCTGCTGCCTGTCCTGGCTCCTGAGACACTGATAACAGTTTGGATATGTTGGGGTGACAACCTTTCCCTTCCCAGGGCCAGTGATACCTAGAACATCCTTTGTGGGCTGGTGTCTGTCCCATCTGGCCAGGGCCAGACTCTTCCGCCCTGTGTGTTTTGGGCTCGCTTCCTCTTGGGCGTACAGGGGCTCCTCTGCAGAGGTGAGGGGCAGCTGTCTCAGTCTTTGACTTCGCTCTCTGGGCTGAAGACTGCAGCTCCCCTGGGTGTGGACTTTTCCAGGCATTGGAGTGTGGTCAGCATCAGGAAAGCATGTTGGCGTCATTTGAAGTGCTGGATGGGGTCCAGGCCCTCCCTACGGACAGGACAGGCAAGAGCCTGTGTAGCTGGTAAAACAAAGTTAGTCTTTCCTTGCTTAGACACTCAAGGCTCCCACCCAGCTTTGTTTTGTTTTGAGGCCGTATCCGGTGGTGCCCAGGACTTATTCCTGGGTCTGCGCTCAGGGATAACTCCTGGGGGACCATCTGGGATGCTGGGGATCAAACTCAGGTCAGCCATGTGCAAGGCAAGCACCCTTCCCACTCTACTATAACTTCAGCCTCCCTTCCCATCATTTTTGTTTTGGTTTGGTTTTTCGTTTGGGGCCACATCCCGTGATGCTCCGGGGTTGCTCCTGGTCTTGCACTCCACAGTTACTCCTGACAGGGCTCAGGGACCATATGGGATGTCAGGATTGAACCCAGGTCAGCCAGCGCCCTCCCGGCTATACTGTCTCTTGGGCCCCTCCCACCCATCTTAAAGAGGGTGTTGGTGGCATAGCTCTTTGCTGGACAGCACGGCCTCCGCTGAAGCAGGAGTCCATGCTGTCTGCCATGGCCTGGGCTGTGCATGGAGATGGTGTTTTGTTTCTTGGGGGGGATATGGTGGAGTTTGGACCACATTCTATGGTGTTTGGGGACTATTCTGACCTGTTGCTCTGGGCTCGCTCCTGGCTGTTCTTCCCAGAAAGCCTTCCTGCAGCCCTTCAGCCATCTCCAGAACTGGTTAGATTTTTTTTGTTTGGGGGCCACATCCAACAATGCTCAGGCCTTACTCTTAGCTCTGTGCTCAGGGGTCACTCATCGCAGGTATCAGGGACCCATAGGGGGTGCCAGGAATTGAACCTAGGTCAGCCACCTGCAAGGCAAGTGCCTTCCCCGCTGTACAATCTCTCGAGTTCTGATAATTATTTTTGACTGTCCTGTTCATGGGGTGGAGCGATAGCACAGTGGTAGGGCGTTTGCCTTGGCGTGCAGCCGGCCCGGCCGAGCCAGGTTCGATTCCTCCACCCCTCTCGGAGAGCCCAGCAAGCTACCAAGAGTACGTTGCCTGCACAGCAAAGCCTGGCAAGCTCCCTGTGATGTATTCAATGTGCCAAACACACTAACAAGAAGTCTCACGATGGAGACGTCACTGGGCCCGTTCGAACAAATCGATGAACAGCAGGAGGACAGTGCTGCAGTGCAGTGTCCTGTTCATGGGGTTCATACTTGGAAAAGCATGGGCAGCGAGTTTGTTCAAATTACTGTAAAGAATCTTGTTGCAGGCGACCAGAGGTGTGTCCTGCCTCCCCCGACCCCCACTTGAATCCCCAGCATTGCATATGATCCCCAAACTTGGGGATCACTTCCTGAGCACAGAGCCAGAAATAGCCCCTGAGAGCCCCCGGGTATGGCCTCCCCCCCAAAAAAAAGTAGGAAAAATAATCTTGTTGGGGGGACTGGGGAGATAAGAGGGCTGAGCACATACTTCACATGCAGAAGCCCATGCCCAGCCTGCAAGCACCACTGGGTGTGCCCAGAAAGAAAAAGAAGGGGAATAAAAAGGAATCGGGCCCAGGAAGAGCGCCCCAGTGGAAGAGAAGCTGCTGAGCCCGCTGAGGCCTTTCATTAGAAACTCAGTAATTTAGTGATTCGAGGTTCTTAGTGTGTTTTATGTGACACTGCTTCTCTCAAGCTGCCCTGAACAGCCCAGTAGTCAGCAGTGTGCACTGCGAATCTGAACCTCTAGGCCACAGTAGGGCCTAGCCTGTCCGTGAGGATTGGCACCCCGCCACCCCTATGCCAGGGAGCACTGGAGGGCAGGGAGCTTTTGAGAAGAGCGTGCTTAGATTTGATGCAGTCATGCACTGTCCCACACCAGAAACCAGGGCAGGATGAGCCTTTCCGAGAGAGGGTCTTTGTTCACCCCCTCCTCAGCACCTCTGCAGCAAGTGGGTGCTGTGGGGTTCCCTCCAGGAGTTTGGTACGACTGCAGTGCAATACCGAGCGCTATCAGTGGCTGCCAGTGCCACAAGGCCCTCTCAGCCACGTCCGCCCGCCCGCCCACCCCCCGCTCGGTGAGATTCTTTAAGATGATAAGGCAGTTTGGCAGGTATTCCGCCAGTGAATCATTTCTCCCTTGTCCCAGCTGGTGAGCCAGGGCGACGCCCTGTGCTTCGTGCAGAGCTGTCACCTTTGGCTTCTTGGTCTGCCTGAAACATGCGGTGCCTGTGGGATATCTGAGCACAGGTTCCTTTGATTTGGGAGAAACAGTTTGGTCTTGTGTTTGGTTTTTGTGCCACATTCAGTGCTCTGGGATCAAACCCAGGCCTGGGGCCAAAGAGATAGTACAGCAGGGAGGGCACTGGCTTTGCACGCAGGCCACATTTGATTCCCGGCATCTTAGATGGTGCCCTGAGCACCACCAGGAATGATTTCTGAGTGCAGAGCCAGGAGGAGCCCCTGAGCATCACCAACCGAAGAACCAAGACAAACAACAAATGCATAGCTCCCGCCCGCAGGTGTGTCAGGTATCCATCCTGCTGTTGGAGCCGTCCCCTGGCCTGGGGGAAAACCCACTTTGACTGGGGGTTGATTGGTAATACTGAGCCTGAGAGACTCAGAACCTGGGGCAGCTGCAGGCACTGCATCCTGAAGCTCAGGTCCCACCGCTGCCCCACATGGTCCCCCAAACACGGCCACCCCCAAGCTGCCATTGAGCCACTCTCTCTCTCCCCACAAAAAATTAGAACCTGCAGTGTGTTTGGAAGGCAATGGGCTTACGCCCAGGTAAGGGGGGACCAGCCGTGTGTTGTCATCTTCAGGCTGAGAGAGCAGCGCTGCCCCATTGGGTCTTACCCTGGGGGATGCGCGTCCTGAGCAACCACATTCGTCACCTCTGAGCCACCACATGTGCCCCCTCCCTGCCCACGTGCTGGGGCTTCCTTCACAGAAGCTTTCCCCTCCTGTCCTCCTGTCCAGGCCGAAAGCGAGGAGACCAAGGAGCGGCTGTTCGAGTCGGTGCTCAGCGAGTGCCGGGACGCCCTCCAGGCCGTTCGTGAGGAGCTGAAGCCAGACCAGGTACCCTGTACCCCGTGCTCTGGGACCCCGTGTCACTCTTGATGTCCCCGTGAGCGAGGGCCCCCACGCGCCTCAGGCTGCGATACTCTTTTCTCCTGTCCCGTCCCCTGTGTTTGCCACCTGCAGGGGCCCGGGGCCATCCCCAGCCAACAGACAGCCACAGTTCCTTGGTGGCCCTGAGAGAGAGACAGGCCCCGGCCGTGCTGGCCATGCCTTGACGTCCTCTCACCATGAGGCCCCGCACTGAGTGCGCCCCATACGCCTCACCTTTCCCCCTCTCCGCAGAAGCAGAGAGACTCAGTTCTCGAAGGGGAGTCGGGCAAGGTGTCTAACCTGCAGTACTTGCACAGGTAACGGCCCCCGTGGGTTTGCGTGGGGCTCCCTGCATGCTGCTGGTGGAGAGAGGGGCTGTGTGGTGACAGTCTGCAGCTGCTCCTGTCGCGTCCGCTCTCGTTGCTGGCCCTTCTATCCTCAGGGCAGCTTGCGGGCGGCTGCCTGGCCTCTCTCCACAGTGTCTGTGCCGTGTGTCTGGTGCAGTTGCCAGCCCTCACCTCGGGCGTGCCGTAAGGCTCTGGAGAGATGGACAGGGTGATGGACGGGCTCAGCTGTGCCAGCTGTCCCCTTAGTCACCTTGTCAGAGGCTGGGACTATGGCCCAGCAGGCTGAGCACAGACTGCAGGAGTTTAGGCTCCATCCCTGACCACCTACCCCTGAGCACAGAAGCAAGAGTAGTTCCTGAGCACTGTCTGGAGCAGTCCCATGGCACCAGAAAGACTTTGGCCTTACCAAATTTGTTATTATTATTAATCTATTTTTGGTATTTGGGCCACATCTAGCTGTGCCTGGGGATCACTCCTGACAGGGATGAAAGGACTCTGTTCGATGCTGGGGATTGAACCCAGCTCAGCCGCCTGCAGGCGAGTGCCTCGCCCCTTTTCTATCTCTCCGGCCCTTTAGGTATGGTTTTTTTGTTCCACTTCTCATGGGCGCAATCTCCTCTTGCCTTCTGGGCTCAATATTTGCTCAGTTTTTTTCTCCGCACTCTGCTACTTCCAGGTTGCCTTTTCCCTCTTGGTTTTGCAGCTCTGTCTTATTTGTTCGTTTGTTTGTTTTGCTTTTTGGGTCACACCTGGGCGATGCACAGGGGTTCCTCCCGGCTCTGCACTCAGGAATTACTCCTGGCGGTGCTCAGGGGACCATATGGGATGCTGGGAATCAAATCTGGGTCGGCCGCTGCATTGCAAGGCGAACGCCCTCCCCGCTGTGCTATCGCTCCAGCATGGGGCTGGAGCTCTGTCTTGTGAACAGTTTTCCTAGATGCCTGAGTTCCTTCCCTCACTTCCCTCTCAGCAGTGGGGGCCACTATTGGGGGACCTGCATGTGTCTGGGGGCTCCCCCGCTGCAGCTTGGCCCTGGGTGTTCTGGCTCCTCATTCCCCCAAAGGACCCAACAGGGTTTCGTGTGGCTGACCCATGGCCCTGGGTCACGGCGGCTACTCCTGCCCTCACAGTTGGGTGAAAAGTGGCCGGAAGCACCACACTAGGTGCCCGGTGGTCCCTGAACCCCTCACATCCCTCATTGCGCCTCCTGGTTCCCTCCCGAGAAGGTGGCCACAGGATCCAGAGGCCTCACTGCTATCTCAGTGTCGGCTGTGAATGGTCACCAGCTTCCTCCCCAGCACTGCAGGGACCTTGGGGGGGCGGGAGGGTGGGGGCACAAAGTTCCAGCTAGCAGGCATCCTGCCCGTCTCTGGGTGGATGCTGTGTCACATGGGACGTGCACAGACCCTCAGTGTTGGCTGCCGTGAGCACGTGGTCAGATGGGCACCGCTTCTATGGAGGTCCAGTATGAGGGTGCTGCGCTGACCCTGTTTTGGGGCCGCCCTCGGCCAGCAGCCAAAGTTGAGGGCCCCTGCCCCGCAACAGGCCTGGGCTCACTGCCTCCCCCGGTCAGCCCCAGCCCAGCCTGAGTGACCATGGGCTCCTTTTCAGCTACCTGACCTACATCAAGCTGTCCACGGCTGTCAAGCGCAACGAGAGCATGGCCAAGGGTCTGCAGAAGGCACTGCTGCAGCCACAGCCCGAGGACGACAGCAAGCGCTCACCACGGCCACAGGACCTGATCCGGCTCTACGACATCATCCTGCAGGTGCCCTGAGGGTGGCGCGGCTAGCCCTGCAGCCAGGGGGGCACAGTGACATGACCCGCAGGGCAGACAGTGTCTCACTTTTTCCCAATTCTCCCCCACCCCACCCCACCCCCGCCCCCAGCTCTGGGCACCCAACCCGCGTGAGTGTGTTGAGGGGGTTGCCTTCAGCCAGGCGGGTGCAGCACTGGGCAGCCTGCTTGCTACAGTGACCAGAGGGCCCTGCTCCCACTTCCCCTGTCTCCCGGGAGCTTCTGTTGGAAACTCAGTCTGCGGTTCCTCTTTGGCAATGTTCATATGCAGAATCTGGCGGAATTGCTCCAGCTGCCGGGCCTGGAGGAGGACAGAGCCTTCCAGAAGGAGATCGGGCTCAAAACGCTGGTGTACAAGGCCTACAGGTGAGCACCCTGACCAGATGGGCTGTTCGCCACTGCTTGTGACTCTGTTTGCGGGTTGTTCCATTATTTGGGGCTGCGCCTGACAGTGCTCAGGGGCTACTTTAGCTCTGCCTTGCTCCCAGCAGTCCCTGTGGAGGCGCAGATGGAGCCAGGCCTCCTGCCCCTAAAGCCTGTGCCCACCCCGTTGAGCTCTCTCTCGGGCCCCAAGTCTGTTTTGTTGTTCTTTTTTGGGGCCACACTCGTGGTATTCAAGGTTTCCTTCGGCTCTGCACTCCTGGCGGGCTTGGGGACCTGTGGGATGCCAGGATTGGACCCAGGTTGTCGTATGCAAGACAAATGTCCTACCACCTGCACTGTTGCTTCGGCCCCCCGAGGTGTTTTCACGGAAATTGTATTCTCTGTGGGTGGAAGAGGGTGGTGTCCAAGGGCAGTTGAGGGCGATCAGCTCTCCTCTGGCTGTGGGGGCACCCTTTGCTGTCCCACCCTATCTTGGTGCACATGCCCCGCTAGGAGAGACTCCTGGGGTTGGGGGTGTGTGGACGCCACGGGCACGGGGGGCTGCCTGCAGCTTTCCCTGCCGGGCCGGTTCCAGGGAGCAGTGTGGCTGCTCGGGCCTGACCTGGAGAGCACTGAGCTCTGTGCTCTGGGTCCGAGGCTTGTTTTTTCCTGGTCCAGTGCTCAGCAGACACGGGGCACTCGCCCATCGCACTCTTTTCCCTCCTGTCAGGTGCTTCTTCATCGCTCAGTCCTACGTACTGGTGAAGAAGTGGAGCGAAGCCCTGGTCCTCTACGACAGGGTCCTCAAGTACGCCAGCGAGGCCAGCTCTGATGCCGGCGCCTTTAAGAACAGCCTCAAGGTGAGCTGCTGGTTGCCCATGGCAGGGCGAGGCTGCCCACCGCGAGGCTCCAGGGCCAGGAATGTCGACGTTTCTCGCCTCAGATCTCAGCCCTCTGCATCCCGAGACTCTGTTGTGTTTGTTTTTGTTATGTGTGTGTGGGGGGGCGTCTAACTGGGGTGCAGCCACTGAGCCACACTCCCTGCTGGGAGCTGACCTTGCGCCCCTTGCGCACAGCGGGGTGGGGGAGGAGGTCCCACTGTTCAGGCCCACTGCTTGGGTCCTGCATCCTGACATGAGCTGACCCCAAGCTGGCCACGAGGCAAGTGCTCCTGCTCCGATCTCAGGCTCAGTGCTCTTGTACGCGGCTTTGGGAGCCAGGGATCCTGCGCGTGTGCTCAGCCCAGTTGGGCCTGTAGATTGGTCCAACCTACCAGGCCCAGGGTATCACTAGCATGCATGTTCAGAACAGAAGCTGAGTCGCCTGGCAGGCAGCAGTGTGGAAGAGTACTGGGCTGCACAGGGATGCTAGCTTCTCTTCAGGCCACACAGGAGTACAGCAAGTACAGAGACGAGCGGGGGCGGGCCCCTTTGGGTAGCGGATACTGGGTGGATGTTTGTCCTGGGAAGGAGGCCTCCAATGATGCCCACATGACCTTAATGGAGCGGGCACGGCATTGGCCTTGCAGGCCGAGTGGGAGAGACTCAGTCACAGGTTGCTGCTTTGGTACTGGTTTGAGTTTGGAGAGCTGAGGGGCTGCTCCCGGCTCTGTGCTCAGGAATTGCTCTCGGAGGTGCTCAGGAGACCGGCGACCGTGCCAGGAATTAGGCATGGGCCTACAGCGTGCACGATCTGTGCTTGCCCCTTGCTGTCTCCCCCGCCCCAGGTCAGCTGCTTCCCAGGGCCACCTCCGTGGATGTCACGGGCCGGGTGCCTGGTCTCCTCTGCAGAGTGGGCACACTCACAGTATCATGCCTGCAGGCTCTGCCCACCGACCCAGCTCACAGCTCTCACCGCACATAGCCACTTATGGGGCTTCCACGAAGAACCATTCAGGGTCTGCAATGCAGGCCAGAGGGATGACTCACACCGAGCAGTTGCCTCCATGTGGGGGCATGGCAGGTCTTGGGGGTCACGTGACTCGGTGCGGTTTCCTCTTGTAGGACCTGCCTGATGTGCACGAGCTCATCACACAGGTGAGGTCGGAGAAGTGCTCCCTGCAGGCGGCGGCCATCCTGGGTGAGTCGGCCCGTCCCCTGCTGCAGGGATGGCGTGGGGTCATATGTGAGGCGGTTGCCCTTAGTCGGACCCTGAGATACCAGGTGTGCAGCTGCGGTTCAAGAGATGCCATTTCCCTGTCCCTTAGCCCTGGTGGTCTGGCCTGACCACAGGCAGGCTCACTGTCCATTAGTTTTGGGTTTGGGTCTGCCCAGCTGTGCTTGGGTGCTCCAGTCCCTGTGGCACCAGGGCTGGGACCTGGCATCCCTACCCCTGAGCTGCCTCAGGCCCTGGGACTTGGCCCCATGTGTTCGGCCTGTGCTTACTTTGTCCCTGTGGAACTTGCAGACGCCAGCGACCCCCATCCCACAGAGAGTAGTGCCCAGATCAAGGACAGCAAGGTGAGGCGGGGCCTGAAGGTGGCCGGGAAAGTCCCATGGTGGGGGAGGGGGGTCATCAGTATACTCCCCCGGAGGAACCTCTCCAGGCATGGCTGCCTGTGCCCCAGCAGCCTCCCCAGGGGCTTGGTCACACCCAGCTCTCAGGGGATGGGGTTTATGGGGATCCTGCGCAGGTGCTCAGCCCAGTTGGGGTCTCAGAGCTTCCCTCTGACTTGCTTGCAGCCTCTGGTCGAACGGTTTGAGACCTTCTGCCTGGACCCATCCCTGGTCACCAAGCAGGCCAGCCTGGTCCACTTTCCTCCAGGCTTCAGACCCGTGCCCTGCAAGCCGCTCTTCTTCGACCTGGCGCTCAACCACGTGGCCTTCCCTGCCCTCGATGACAAACTGGAGCAGAAGGCCAAGAGTGGCCTCACCGGCTACATCAAGGGCATCTTTGGGTTCAGGAGCTGACCAGGCTCTGCTTGGGGGCGGGGGGGCCGCTCTGAGTCTGTATGTGCGAGAGGCCTCACGGGTTCTGACGGGGAATCCAGCCTGCAGCGGCCCGGGCAGGACAGCCTGCCAGCCTGGCTCCCTCTGAGCGTCTGTGCCCTTCCGCTGGTGACGGCAGACTCCCGCTGGGGGTGCCTGTGACGCGTGGCCCAGGGTCAGACCCGTGGGCGGACTCCCCCAGGCCCAGACCGGGTCCTGGGCGTGCTGGACTGTTTTCTTCAGTCCCATGGACCTGAAATGAACTCATCCTTGCCAGAAGCTTCTGAGCCTCTCAGAACATGGGCCCATGATGGGGAACACTGGCGGCGTCACCCCAGAGCAGCGCCGGCCCTGTCCTCCTCCCCGCTGCAGGAAAGTTCCGGAGCGTCACGGCAAGCAAAGAGCTCTATTTTTAGAAGAAACATGTCACACTCAAAATGATGCAAACAAATCTTATATTAAAAGGCCGAGATGCTGGAGACTCTGGCCGTTTCTGCCGCTCCTCCCTCCCGGCCCCACTCTGCTCGAGGGCGTGGCCAGCACCTCGGCCATCGCTGTCCTTTCATCTCTCCAGGGCCACACTCTGTGGTCTCCATTGTGGGGTCTGTAGCGGATGGAAGCCATGTAAGGAAGCAAGGGATAAGGGCGACTGGAACCCGAGGTGGGCCCGGGCCACTCATGCCACTGTCCTGTAGGAAGGGGCCGCCGGAGACTGCTGGCCTGAGTGTCCAGACTCGGCAGGCGGCCGAGGGCTGTTCTCAGGCCTCACTGTGGGGAAGCTGCAATGGTGCAGGATCCAAACAGGCTTCCGGGCCACAACTGTTTTTCCCTGGACTCTCAGTTGCTCTGAGCTGGCTGCTCTCCCCGTCTCCTTAGGGTCAGTCTCTGGAAGCAGGTTCTATTCTGCTCGAGCCCATTTCCTCACAGTCATAGTACACGTGGCCTCGGAGGGTGTGATTTTTTTTTTGGGGGGGGTGGGTGTCACACCAAGCGATGCTCAGGGGTTCCTCCTGCCTCTGCACTCCGGAATTATTCCTGGCGGTGCTTGGGGGACCCTATGGGATGCTGAGGATCGAACCCGAGTCGGCCGCATACAAGGCAAACACCCTACCCGCTGTACTGTCGCTCCAGCCCTAGATTTTTTTTTTTTTTTTTTTTACTTTTTGGTCACATCTGGCAGTGTTCAGGAATTATTCCCTGCTCTGTCCTCAGTAATTACTCTTGGCAATGCCTGGGGAACAATATGGGATGGGATCTAACCCGGGTCATCCGAATGCAAGGCAACCGCCCTCCCAGCTGCCGGGTGTGACCCAGTCATCTCCCCAGGTCCTAGGGCATGTGGGGGCAGGAAACTGCTAAGACAGGAGGGTCTGGCAGCGCCTTTTATCTGGCTGTGACTGTAGTTCTGCCTGCAGAGTCGGGAGTGAAATGTTGGCTTTCAGTTAACTGCCAAGAGCAGTAGCAGGTTCAACGGACATAGTTTGGCCACATCCATTTCCCTAACAGCTGCTGTTACAGAAAAGTGTCAGGAGTGGGAGGTGGCCGGCTGCAGCTCTGCAGTTGCCCACTGCCCATCTGTCTTGTCTCTGGTCTTAGCAGAAGCCCAGAGAGGATGCACATTCCCTGTTAAGAGATGAGATTCCCAGGCGGGAGAGACGGCGCAGCCAGGAAGGCACTTGCCTTGCACGCAGCAGACCCAGGCTTGATTCCCACTCTTAGTATGGCCCCCTGAGCCCTGCCAGGATCGGTCCCTGAGCATCACTGGGAGTGCCCCACGGTCTGATGCCCTGAACCACCACTATGGCTGCTGAAGGGAACTGGGTGTCTTCCCCCCCCCCCCCCCCCCAGCACAGGCCCTCTGCTCCGCACTCTGGGGGCGCTCAGGCTGCGCAGGAATTCATGCCCACAGATCGGCACACACACCAGCTTGCCGCAGATTCTAACCTGCATGTCGGTGGCGGCAGCTTTGCTACCCTGCGGAGGGGCTGGGAAACGCTGGCCCAGCCACGTAGGTGCGGGTCTGTGAGTCTCCGTTCCTCAGAAGACATGCAAATGGGAACTAGACTTGGCCTGGGAATGGCCCTTTCGAGGGCAGAGGAACAGGCTGGAAGCCTCCCGGCTTCTGGCAGCACCCACATGCGGCTGGATATTGGCGATAGGCCCGGTGCAGGGCTGGCTCGAGGCCCTCACAGCTGTCACAGGCCCGCAGTGTCTCCCCTGCTGCAGGCTCTGGGCAGAGCTTGGGCCAGTCCAAGTCAAAGGGGTGAACGCTCGGCAGCTGTTGGGCTCCACCGTCGGCCCTTCCAGCAGTGGAGGGACCGTTGGACAGGGCTGCAGCAGTGTCTGCTGGGCTCTGGGACAGCTGTCGGGCCTACTGTCTCCTGAGGCTGGAGTCCCAGGGGAGAGAGGGACCTGCCTATCTGCCCATCGGCGGTGGATGCTTCGTTTACCCCCTGCGAAGCTGCTGGCCTCTGGTCGTGTCAGCGTGAACTGGCGTCTCCAGCGGGAGAGGGGTGACGAGTGGTCCCCAGCAGGCCCTTGACAAGAAGTAGCCCGCCCTTGAGTGACTGTGCTCGGACTCCCTACATTCCTCTCTGCCCAGGTACATGGGGAGGACGTTCCAGAGCCCCCAAGTCCTCGATCCTCCTGCTAGGAGCCACTAAACGTGGGACCAAGGGACCCCAGAAGAGAGTCCGATTCTCAGCCCTCCCTGTGCCTTTCTCCCTCAGCCCAGAGCCTGGCTCACAGCTGTCAGGGCCCACCCGTGGCTGCTCCCCCCGAAGACAGGGAGAGGGGTCCGCACTGGGGGCATCTGATACTCCAGCTGGCTGATCTTGTCTTCTGCACGGAGGCCTTGGGGGTTCTTGGGTGCCCTGGGGCTGTGGATCCCCAAGCAGGTCAGTGGGCTCTGGGGTTGCTTTCTCAGCCCCTAAGGACCAGCTGTGCTGCCCTCCCCTGCCGCCCTGCCGACCTCCCGCAGGCCTTGCTTGGTCTGCTCCTTGGTCCCTTGCTTGGTGGTTTGCTAGGTTGGTTTTGGGGTCATACTGGTGCTCGGTGGATACTCCTGCCATATTGCTCACAGGTTGCTCCTTGTGGTGTTCGGGGAACCCTGCGGTGCCCGGGCTGGAACCTGGGGCCTCTCTGCAGAGCTGCACTTACCCGTAGAACTCTTGCACCTTTCTTTTTATCAGACTTGCTGGGGGACTCGCGTGCTGCCTCCCCAGCACCAACATCCCCCTGTTTCTGGGTTCCTGCGCCCAGGAGACCCCTCCCCTGTTATGTCCTGGGAAGGAAGTTTTGCTTACTTGTTGACCAGACCAGACGCAAGGATGCAAATGCAAGGCCCCTTTATTGCTAACTCGAACTAGAGTCCAGGTCTCATCCAACAGCAGTGGAGTCTCGAGGATCCCCACTCCAAATTCTGAGCAGCTTATATAGGGCTTGGTTACATAACAGCATTTTCCTAGTTAACTAGCAATATGTTTCCAGTTCTAATCCCTGCCCTGTCTCGTGATTCCAGGGACCAACACGATGTTTCCAGTTCTTGGCCCCTGTCCAGTCCTATGACGCCCCTCCTTTGTCCCCCTCTACTTGGCTGGGTGCCACTGCCCATGCCCCCTGCTCTGATAGGCTGTCCCCACGGGTCAGTTTATCTGCCCAGGGTGATACTGTTCTCTGAGAAGCCGGGACTTTCTGATGGGGGAAACCGAGGCTTGGACCTGCTGAGTTTTGGTCTTAAAGTGGATCCTGTCATGGCTTCCCATTCAGCCTCACACCCCTGCTTTCCTTCCCCCCACTCCTGCCCTTCTGGTTTTTTCACTTTTTGTTTGCAATGGCAGGAATGAAGTCCACATCCGCTGCACACAAGGCCAATGACTTGTCACCTCCCAGCCCTCCCTTGGTGCCTCGCGGGGACTGTCACTGACCTCAAAGACCAGGATGGGGAGGCAGGAGACAGTCACAGACAGCTGGCCCAGGGGCTGTAGCAGGAGCGTGTGCAAACAGGGCAATTTCCTGAGCCGGTGAAGTGTGTGTGCATTGGAGACACGCAGGGGTCATCTGTAGCCTCACCCGCTGGGTGGGCAGCTGGAAGTCCAGGAGCAGTTCGGGTGCAGCCTGCAGCATGCAGGCCGCCTCCTCGGACCCTCAACCATCCCCTGCGCTGTGCATGGCATGTGCCAGTTAGCCTGGAGCTCCAGGGGTCAGGTGTGTGCGCTGGCACAGGGCTGGCAGAGACCTGGGGGCCAGCTCAGCCCTAGCACCTCAGTCCTCAGAGGAGGAAGCGATGGCAGCCAAGCTAAGGCCTCGGGGCACCGCCAGATGCCAGGGCCTGGGCTCCTGCCTGGTTCCAGAGGCGGAGACGTGGCAGGGGCGAGGCCAGGAGAGAAGGCTGCCAGTCAGGGGTGCCCCATTGAGCCATCCGGATAAACCATCCCGTGAAGGTCAGCCACACTGGCCACAGCCACGGAAAACCAGGGAAAAGTGACAGGTGAAACCAACCTGTAGAAAACGCATCTCTAGGAGCTGGAGAGAAATGCATGCAGACAACCTGGGTTCGATCAACTGGATTCAAACAAATCCTGGCATCCCATCTGGTCCCCTGAGCCCCTTCAGGAGTGATTCCTGATTGCAGTCAGAAGTAACCCTTGAGCATCGCTGGGTGTGTTTTCCGCATTCCCCCACCCCCCCCCCCCCCCACACACACACACAAAAAAACAAACTTGAAAATGCATTTCCAGGGCAGGTGTGAGGAGAATACAGTGAGTAGGATGCTTGTCTTGCATACGGCCAACCAGCACTGCCTGTGGTAGCCTGAGCTCTGCCAGGAGTAAGCTCTGAACACCATTCTCTATGTATGGCTCAATGAAACAGCCCTCCATCCTTCCCCACCATTGCCCAGAGGTGTGGGGCCAGGATGAAGCACACAGGTAACCCCGCCTCCCCATGGGTCCGACCCTTTCTGCATCCGCCTGCACCTCAGTCCAGACAGACACACCCATGGGTGCCCCAGACCCCCCCCCCCCCCCGGTGCCTGCCCACCACGCTCCCGCCAGCCCTTATCTGCCAGCTGGGGGCTGATGTGATCTGGCTTTGGATAGTCAGGCCTGGAATCCAGCTCGTGTTTTTCTTGCAGTGAATCACTTGCCTTAATCTCGGGGCGTTCGAGGCCCCCACCCCCACCCCCGAGGCGCTTATTTATTTCCAGGAGCTGCAGCAGACAGGCAGACGGCCGCGTCCACTGTCCAGATGGTACCTGACTGCCCCGTACCACCGGCCTCCTTGGAGACTGGGGGACACGCCTGCCTCCCGCCTTCTCTGGAGCCGAAGCCTGGCCCCCACCCTTGCTGACCCCCTGGAGTTCATGGTGCCGCTGCCGGCTCTCCTGGGCGGTGGCCACCCCTTGCCCAATCCCCGAGATAAGGCGGCAGCGTGGCGACTCGGGGTGAGATGAGAGGCCGCAGGCAGGGCTGGTCCCTGGCCCTGCGGACACTCGGCAAATGGCCCCTTTCTGGCAGCTGATTGCAGGGGTGCTGCTGGTGGTCAGGAGAAAATTGTCACCCAGGCTCGGTGGAGTAGGGGGCTGGCCAAGTGGCCTTGGGGTGCCCCTGCCTTCATCTCGCTCCATCTCACTGATGGCCCCACCCCAGCCAGATTGGAATGTTGGGTCACCATCTGCGGCTGTTTGTCTGTGCTCCTCCCTGCCCACCTTCAGAGACCTGCCGGCGAGTATACTCTGTCCCGGCCCTCGGCCCACACCCTGCCCCCCTGCCCCCTCCAGTTCTTCCTCTGGAACAGAGCCCCCGGGGGAGGTGTGTTGAATAGAAGGGGACCAGCCTGGAGTCACAGCAGGAGGCAGCCATCAAGAGGACTGGGAGCCCGGGAGGCGGCTGACTGACTGTGGAGTGCCCGCGCAGTGCCTGGCACCACGCACACAGGCCCAGAGAGACGGCAGCCCCTGCCCCCGCGGGCCATGCAGTAGACGTGCGCTGAGCCCCAGAGACACGAGGGGACAGGGTGCAAGAGTGGGGTGGGGAGAGGCAAGGAGCCCCCAAGTTTGGTGGGTTTCTGAGGCTCTGCCATTTCTGGAGTCCAGGTCTTCTCTGGAGCTCCTCTTAGAGTCTGGGGACCCTGACAACGTCCACCCCAGCTGAGTGGTGCCAGTCTGGAATGGGTGGTTCCCCCGTGTCGGTGGGTGGGGAACACAGCAGAGCCCAGAGCCCCTCCCAGCAGCAGGGCAACTGCTGCGGGCATGTCTGTGACCCCCCCCCCCCCTCCGCCCTGCCGCCTCCCGCCCCGCCTGGCGTGCAGGGCCGCCTCCTTCCTGGCCCCCGCGATTTCTCCCTTGGGTGTGATGCCGCCGCCCCGGGGCGGGTGAGTGTAACAAGTCCAAACCTTCCCGGGGAGCCTGAGAGCTGGGGAGTCGGCGCCCCGCCCTGTGGGCTGTGTCCTTCCTCCCAAACTGGTCTCTCCGGAGGAGTCGGGGGTGCGCGCGCCGCCACTAGCGGCCTCACCTGCGGGGAGGGGCCTCCCAGAAACTGCCTTCCCGGGGCCCTGTGCCCCACCTCGCCAGAGCCCCGCCGAGAGCCGCCAGCGAGGTCGCCCGCCGCCGCCGCCACCGCCTGACCCCGTCGGAGCCCAGCCGAGCGGCCGCTGCTTCACACCATGTTCAAGGGGCTGAGCAAAAACTCCCAGGGGAAGGGGTCCCCCAAGGGGTCTCCAGCCAAGGGCTCCCCCAAAGGCTCCCCCAGCAAGCAAAGCCGGTGAGCAGGGCGGGGAGGCGGCTGTGCCTGGGTGCCGGCGGCCAGGTGCTCAGGCCACTGGCATTTGGGGTTCCCAGGGCCTGGGGGGCCCCCTTGCCTGGGTCAGGCCCCGCTGAGGGCCATGGAGTGGGGGTGGGGGGCTGTCTGCCCCAACCACGGAGCACAGCAGCTGGTTTCCTGCCGGGATCCCCCTAGGGCTGTGCAACGGTGGGCTTGGCCCCTGGTGCGGAGGTGGGCAGAGGATGGGGCTGGCACTAGGGGTTGGGGGGAGGCGGTTGGGCCGCCCGTGGGAGTTCGGGGTGCTGGCTCCAGTGTCGGGTGAGCCCTTGGCGGTGTGGACGTGTGTGGGGGCTGCTGTGGGCTGTGGGGGAGCCTGGGGTCTCTGGCGCCTCCCTCTGCACCCCAGCCTGGCTGACAAACAGGCCCTCACCCCTCTCAGGAGGAGCCGAGGCCCCACCTGGGATCCCGAGGGGAGGAGCCCAAGGCCCAGATAGGGATCGGGCTGGGGTGAAGACTGGGGTGACCTGTCCTCCCGGGCACCTGGGCCCTGCCCAGGGTGGGGTGTGCTGGGCAGCCCTCCAGGAGGTCGGGCCCGGACCAGGCCTGCTGCTCCCCAACCCCAGATGGTCTCCTGGCATCAGGCCACACCGTCCCCATGTTTCCACTTCCTGGGCACCACCGAGCCCACAGGTCCTGCCTCAGGATGCTTTCCTGTGCTGGGCAGAGAGACCCCAGGAGGGCCGCTGTGGGAGTCTGGGTGGGCACCTCAGTGGCTCACGCAGACACCAGCGTACAGTTCCGCAAGTGAGGACCTGGGGCTCAGAGAGGTGCAGTGACTTCTCTGAGGTCACACAGCAAAGGGCTGGAGGGTGGACCTCCTCAGGCTGCTTCTTAGCAGCACTGGCATCCCTCTGTCAGCTCTGAGGGCTCCTGGCCACCCCTGTGTTTGAGCTTTCTTAGGACTGTGAGGGGCAGGGCCTCGGACCACTCTGCCTGCACTCTGTCTGACCCAGAGCAGGTCCCAGTCTGGACCCTCAATCCCCAACCTGGAAACTGTGGGGGGCACGCTGGCAGTCTCTTGACCTTGTTGCCCCTATGCTGCACTGCTGCCCAGGCTGGTGGTCAGCTGGGGCATTGGCAGTGTCCGGCTGAGGGCTTTGCCTTCTCCCCCAATTTCCTGTGTGGAAATCGGCATCGAGTCACTGCATTGAGGTGCTGCTGAGGAAGCCAGTGGGTCCAGGGGGGAGGGGGGTCTGAGCTATGCAGCAGGAGGGGGAAGTGGTGCACACCCTGAGTCCACACATCTGGGACCCCCACTTTTTGTTTGCTTTTGGGGGGCCACACCCAGTGGTGCTCAGAGCTTACTCCTGGCTGTGCTCGTGCTGAGGGCATTGTATGTGGTGCCGGGAATCAAGCCCAGGTCAGCACTGTGAAAGGCCAGCCCCCTGCCCACTTCCTCTGCTCCCTGGAACTCCCATTTTTGGAGCCTTGAAGTGGGAGACAGTAGATGGATCTTAGGGGGCTGGAGCGATAGTATAGCATGCCTTGCATGCAGCCAACCTGAGTTCAATCCCCGGCGTCCAGGGTGATACCCAGAGCACCGCCAAGAGTAATTCCAAAATGCAGCCAGGAGTAAGCTAGATGTGACCCAAAATTTGGGGGGAAAAAAAAAATCAGAAAATTTTTTTTAAGTTTTTTTTTTTTAAATTTTTATTAGTGAAACACCATGAGGTACAGTTGTAGATTTACAAATTTTTGTACTTGGGTTTCAGTTATACAGTGATTGAGTACCCATCCCTCCACCAGTGCCCATTCACCACCACTAATCCCACTATCCCTCCCACCCCATATCCCCCCATCCCACCCTGCCTCTGTAGCAAGGCACTCCCTTTTGTTCTCTCTCTCCTTTTGCATGCTGTGGTTTGCAAAAGAGGAATTGAGTGGCAATCATGTTCGGTCTATAGTCTACTTTCAGCACAATAGCAGAAAATTTAGACAAATCTTAAAGAACTCTCTCCAGGGCAGGGAGCCTGGCTCTGCGGTGAGAAGGGGCAGGAGGGGGCAGGGGACCCCATGGGGTGTGGGGACCTGTGTCCAAAAGGATCACTTTCCAGTCACTACCCTGTGCCCCGCCCCCAGGACTGCCACCCAGGAGCTGGCCCTGCTCATCTCACGCATGCAGGCCAACGCTGACCAGGTGGAGCGCGACATCCTGGAGACTCAGAAGAAGCTGGAGCAGGTGGGACTGGTGCAGGGACCTTGGCCTGGGTGGGGCCGAGGGAGCCAGGGCAGACACAGCAGGCGCAAGAGTTCAGGCTCCCTGCTAGGCACCCCACTTGGGGGCGGGGGTCAAAGGCTTTGAGGAACCCAGGCCTCCCCTGTGTCCACACGCCCATCTGGGCGGATTCTGCCAGGCAGCTGGGGACCCTTGGGGGCGTGGCTGTAGGCGGGCGTGGCTGTAGGAGTGGGCGTGGCTTCGCATCCTGTGCCTGTGTGGTGGGCAGGGGCCCTCAGGGTCGGCAGTGGGCGGGGCTTTGTGGGCGTGTCTGCGCGGTGTTGGGCGCTGCGCGATGGGTGTGGCTGTAGGTGGGCGGGGCTCGGTGGGCGTGTCGGTGGTGGTGGGCGGGGCCGGCGTCCATCTGAGGACTCCAATGCCGGTGCTCAGGACCGGCAGCGCAGCCAGCAGGGCCAGGCACTGCAGCACCGGCAGGAGGCGGGCCGCAACCTGAAGGAGGCCGAGGTGCTGCTGAAGGATCTCTTCCTGGACGTGGACAAGGCCCAGCGGCTCAAGCACCCGCAGGCGGAGGAGATCGAGAAGGAGTGAGTGGGGGCGTGAGGCTGAGGTGGCCGGGGACCGTCTGGCCACAGACCCTCGCTGACCTGCGGGCCGCCTCCTTGCTTGACAGCATCAAGCAGCTGCACGAGCGGGTGACCCAGGAGTGTGCAGAGTACCGTGCGCTGTATGAGAAGATCGTGCTGCCGCCCGACGTGGGGCCTCGCGTGGACTGGGCACGGGTGCTGGAGCAGAAACAGGTTTGGCGCCCTCTCCCTCTCAGCGACACCCCGAGAGCTGGGGACGCCACTGCTGGGACAGAGATGGGTGTCATCATGGGGCCTGCCAGAGTCCCTGGACTTAGGGTTGCTGGGGGTGGGACTTCTTGGAAGGAGGAAGCAAGAGCAGACAGTGCAGTTAGGGAAGGCTCACTGGAAGAGGTGGTGCGGGACACACCCTCAGAGAGGTGAGAGGGCTGGGTTGGGCCAGGGTAAAGTAAACAGGAAAGGGGACAGGATCCTTTTCACCGGTGTGAAAGTGGAGTTCCCAGGCTACAGTTACCTTCCTGAACATCAGGCGAGGAAAGATGCTTTGGTGCCATCACACAGACAGGGACCATGAGGGGGCCCGGGGAGGGAGCAGGGGAAGAAGAGAGTTTGTGCAGGGTCCCGGAGGCTGCAGGGGACAGGGCAGGGGACGCAAACACAGGAGCCCAGGAGGAGGCGGGCAGAGCCCAGGAGCCTAAGCACTGAGTTCTGGGGAGCGGTGGGTTTCGGGTACTGCCATCACAGTGATGACAGGCGGCAGGGCGCGTCCCCAGGGAGGCACCGGTCTGTCCCCATCTGTGGGGACCTCTGCGCTGCTGGTCACGGTGCTGAGTGGTCGCTGTGCTCAGAGGCAGGTGTGCGAGGGCCAGTACGGGCCGGGCATGGCTGAGCTGGAGCAGCAGGTGGCAGAACACAACATCCTGCAGAAGGAGATCGAGGCCTACGGGCAGCAGTTGCGGAGCCTCGTGGGGCAGGTGGGTGAGACCCCGGGCTGGAGGGTGAGATCCCCGGGCTGGAGGGTGAGACCTCCCGGGCAGGTGGATGAGACCCCGGGCTGGAGGGTGAGATCCCCGGGCTGGAGGGTGAGACCTCCCGGGCAGGTGGATGAGACCCCGGGCTGGAGGGTGAGACCCCTGGGCTGGTGGGTGAGACCCCCAGGCTGGAGGGTGAACCCTCAGGCAAGTGGGTGAGACCCTGGGCTGGAGGGTGAGATCCCCCAGGCAGATGGATGAGACCCCTGGGCTGGAGGGTGAGACCCCCGGGCTGGAGGGTGAGACCCCAGGCAAGTGGGTGAGACCCCGGGCTGGAGGATGAGACCCCGGGCAGGTGGGTGAGACCCCGGGCTGGAGGGTGAGATCCCCGGGCAGGTGGATGAGACCCCCGGGCTGGAGGGTGAGACCCCAGGCAAGTGGGTGAGACCCCGGGCTGGAGGTTGAAACCCCGGACTGGAGGGTGAGACCCCCCGGGCAGGTGGATGAGACCCCCGGGCTGGAGGGTGAGACCCCGGCAGGTGGGTGAGACTCCGGGCTGGAGGGTGAGACCCCCCGGGTTGGTGGGTGAGACCCCAGGCAGGTGGATGAAACCACTGGGCAGGTGGATGAGACCCCAGGCTGGAGGGGGGGCAGGGCCACCCCGCACTGCCCCCCCTCACAGGCCCTGTTTCTGCCCCTGGGTCCAATCAGGATGCAAACAACATCCGGAATCAGTATCGCGATCTGCTGGTGAGTCTGGGCTGGCAGAGGTGGGCTGAGGGGGCGGGATTGGGAGGGTGGGGGGGCTTGGACTGGGGCAGGGCCTGGCTGCCGCCTGCACCCCTGATGGGGAGGAATCTCCAGCCATCTTCGCTGAAGGCCACCTCCTCTGTGCTCCCTCCCGAGCAGAAGGCGGCCTCTTGGCGTGGCCAGAGCCTGGGCAGCCTGTACACGCACCTGCAGGGCTGCACGCGGCAGCTGAACGCTCTGGCCCAGCAACAGCGACGCATCCTGCAGCAGGACTGGAGCGACCTCATGGGGGACCCCGTGGGCGTGCGGAGGGAGTATGAGGTTTGCAGGGAGGTCGTGGGTGCAGGGGTGTAGGGCGGGGGCAGGATGTGGATGCAGGGGCCATGGGCCAGGGCGGCCATGGGTTCAGGGGGGCAGGGAGCGGGGCCTTGGGGGGCCATGGGTGCAGGGGGTGGTGGGCAGAGGAGGCCTGGGTGCAGATGGGTTTGGGGATGGGGGAGGCCGTGGGTGCAGGGGCCCGAGGGGCAGGGAGGCCCCAGGGTTTAGTGTCCCTTCCCTCCCACCCCCCAGCACTTTAAGCAGCATGAGCTGCTGAGCCAGGAAGAGAGTGTCAACCAGCTGCAGGACGACGGCGAGCGCATGGTGGAGCTCGGGCACCCGGCCGTGGGGCCCATCCAGGTGTGGCCTCAGGGATTCGATGTGCCACTCTCTCAGTGGAGGCACAAGGGGCACCTCGGGGTGGCGGCTGCGGCGCGTGGGCAGGGCCAGCCAGATGGCTGGGTGGCCCAGGACGGGGCACGGTGTGAAGGCTCCAAACCACTATCCCCAGGCCCACCAGGAGGCTCTGAAGATGGAGTGGCAGAACTTCCTGAACCTCTGTATCTGCCAGGAGAGCCAGCTGCAGCACGTGGAGGATTATCGCCGGGTAAGTGCCCCCCGGGGCGGGGGTCCGGTGCGGGGAGAAGGGAGCGTGCTATCGTGTGCGCGTCGAGGGCAGACAGAGAACAAGGACAGCACCACGAGTGTCCAGTGGGCTTGGAGCCGGCAGGACATGAAGGGAGAGGGAGGGGCTGAGGGGAGGGGCCTGAGCCACACAGCACAGCGGGACTTGGGGCCATTTGCTCCCAGGGTTTCAGACACCTCAAGATGGCAGCCATGCAGTTAGCCTTTCCTTACTTTTTTTTTTTTTGCTTTCTTTTGGGGGGTGATGGGCCAGGGGCTCGCGATGCTCAGGGGTTACTCCTGGCTCTGCACTCAGGGGACCTGATGGGGTGCCTGGGACTGAACTGTGTGCAAGGCGAACGCCCTCCTCACTCCAGCCTATTGCTCCAGCCCTGTTTTCTCACTTATTTTGCCAAAGACATTTTTCCTCGACACCATCCATGCACCATCCACTTCTGATTAGACTGCAGAGCCACTGATACATGTGTGCTGGTGTGCATGCGTGTGCATGTGTGTGCATATGCATATGCATTCATGTGTGTATGCATGCATGCGTTCATGTGTGCATGTGTGTGCATATGTGTATGTGTATGTGCATGCATGTATGCACGCTTGTGTGTGTGTGTGTGTGTGTGTAGCTAGGGTGGCACCCAGGGCCTGGCACATTCCCAGCACCTGCTCTTACTGCTGAGCCAACTCCCCCCTCCCCTGAGTGATTTTCCTCAGAAGCACATTTCCAGGCCCGGGAGACAGTTCATAGGGCTGGAGCACATAGGGCTTTGCTTGTGGGAGGCCTGGATTCCATCCCTGACATCACATGGTCCCCCAAGAACTTCCAGGTGTGTGTCCTCTCCAAGAGAACAAATATCGAAAGCCACATGTTTCTACCCTCACTCGGGGCTGGAGAAGTGCAGGGCTCAGCCAGGACACCTCTTCAAGCAGAGCCACGGTGTCCTTGGCCCTGCAGGAAATGAGGGCGGGAGCCCAGGGGTCCTTCTGGGTTTGGGGTCAGCTAGCCTTCAGGGGCAGCAGGCGGCGGGGTGCCCAGGCTCTGCCCTTGACCACCTGCCAACCTCAGTTCCAAGAAGAGGCTGAATCCATCAGTAACACTCTTGCGAAGATCAGCTCCAACCTGAACACCCAGTACAGCTGTGCCCCGGGGGGACCCCCAAGCAGCCACACAGAGATGCTGCGGCAGTTGGAGGTGAGCCCCCCAGCCATCTGGCCCCTGACTGGGGGTTGGGCCCCATCTGCCTGGGCCTCCCCCAAAGATACAGCCCTTGGGAGCGCTGCCCTTGGGAGCAGGAGTAGGTGGAGGCCGGTGGGGAGCAGCAAGCCTCCTCCTCTGGGGCCTCAGTTTTCTCTGCTAGTCAGGGAGAGCTGCCAGGCCCGTCACTTCCCAGTCTGGAGGCCTAGAGATGTTGGACACACCTCACTTCCACCCCAACCAGTAGGAACAGGGGCCTGGGACCCCCATGGGGCGGCCGAGCTAGAGACTGTGTCCTCGGGCAGGCCACACCGCTGGCCCTTCTGGGGAGAGCGTGTCAGACGGGCCTGCAGTGAAGCCTGACTTGTGCCCCCCGTGGCCTGGGCCCACGCAGGGGGAGGAGAAACAGCTGGCGATGGCCGAGAGGACCATTGGGGACCTGCAGCGGCGGAGCCGCGAGGTGGCACCCCTCCCGCAGCGCAGGAACCCGCCCCAGAAGGCGCTGCACGTGGACAGCATCTGTGACTGGGACTCAGGAGAGGTAGGAAGGCAGCTGCCCACTCCCCGGCCCCACCTACTCTCCTGACCCCACCCACACCTGTTAGGACTACGCCCATCACGGCGTGACCCCACCCATTCCTGCCCTGACCACGCCCAGCAGCCACATGACCACGCCCCCTGCGTGGCCCCGCCCACCTCTGCCAAGATCACAGGCTTACAAGACTCCGCCTGTCCGCCAAGCCCCGCCCACCAACATGACCCCGCCCACCCCGTCCAGTCCAGTATTCCCACTCCAGCCTCAGGCCCTTGCCTGTCCTCTCCCACCCCCACTGTTTCTACCCCCACAATTCAGCCCCACGTCTCCCTCCTCTAGCTCCACCCGAGCCTTGTTCTGTCCCCTGGCCTGTCCAGGTGGCCTCCACGCACCTGTCCCAACCCCATCTTGCTCTCATCCCTCTCCTGGCCCACCCTGAGCCTGCATGCGTCCCTCCCACATGCCTCCAGGTGCAACTCCTGCGCGGTGAGCGGTACTTGCTGGTGGACAACAATGACCCCCACACCTGGGTCGTGCAGCACCCGGGTGGGGAGACCAAGCGTGCCCCGGCCGCCTGCTTCAGCATCCCGGCTCCGGACCCCGAAGCCTTGGCCAGAGCCTCCAAGTGAGTGTGGCTGGGGGGTGACCAGCCCGCCTCCACCTGGCGTCTGGGTCCACTGAGGTCCACTGGTTCTTTGACTCCATTTAGGCTGAGCTCGGAGCTGCAGGCCCTGAAGCAGAAACTGACCACCATCCAGAGCCAGCTAAAGGCTGATGTAGAGGACCCCCTGCGGCCTGGCCAGCAGGGTACCTGGGGGTAGCCCTGTGATGGGGAGCCTCTCTCCTGGGGTGGCAACTTGGCAACCTGCTGGGCTGCCCATCCCCTCCCCTTGCGTGCCACCAAGTGCCACCATCTGTGGGAGTCTGGGGTCTGGGGAGGGACCCCCAGAGATGGAGCCAAGCCTTGGGCCTTCAGCAGTGTCCTGTGCCCCCAGCTCAGAGCGGCTCCACCCCAGCCGACCCCCAGGCGCAGAAGCTCCTAACCCAGATGACCAGGCTGGACAGGGAGCTGACACAGACAGAGCAGCAGGTGCTGGCGTGGGCTCGGGGCCCACTCAACCGCAGCACCCCCCTGGAGGACCTGGAGGCCCGCATCCAAGGCCACAAGGTGGGTGAGGAGGAGGAGGAGGTGGAGGAGGAGGAGGAGTAAGGAGAGGAGGAAGAGGGAGGAGGTAGGTGGGAGAGAGGAGGAGGAGAGGGGAGAGGAGGAGGAGGGATAGGAAGAGGGAAGGAGGAGGAGGAGGAGGAGGAAGAGAGGAGGAGGAGGGAGTGGAGGAGTAGAAGAGGGGAGAGGAGGAGGAGGAGATGAGGCAGAGCGACAGTTAAAGGTGCTTGTGGGGGCAGCCCTGGGGACAGAGGTGGAGGAGGAAACATTCAGACAGGCTGGTCCCCATCCTGTCCCCATCCTCGCTCGCACCTCTGCAGACCAGCTCTGCAACTTTGAGTAACTCACTTAACCTCTCTGGGTCTTGCCATCCTCATCCCTGAAAATGGACATAAAAACACCCACTTCAGAGGGCTGGAGAGATAATTCAATGGGCAGGGCACTTGCCTTGATGCAGCTGACCTGATTTCAGTTCCATGCACACCTCCTGGTCCCCTGAGCCTGCAGGAGTGATCTCTGAGCACATAGCCTGGTGTGAGTTCTGAGCACCACCAGCTGTGGCCCCCAAACAAAACAAAACAAAACAACAGGGGCCGAAGTGATAGTACAGCTGGTAGTGCATTTGCCTTGCACGTGGCTGACCCGGCTTCGTTTCTCAGCATCCATATGGTCCCCCGAGCACCGCCAGGAGTAATTCCTGAGTGCAAAGCCAGGAGTAACTCCTGTGCATTGCCGGTGTGACCCCAAAAGCAAAAACAAAAATCCAACAATAAAAACATTTAGTTGGGATTATTATCCCGAGGTTAATGTCTGGAGAAGCTTCTGGAGTGAACTGAGCCAGGGCGAAAGCAGTTGTGCAGTGGGTAGGACATTTGCCTTGCATAGAGCTAACCTGGGTTCAATCTCCAGCACCCATATGGTCCCCTGAGTGCTGCTAGGAGTGATCCCTGAGCACAGAGCCAGGAGTCAGCCCTGAATATCGCCACCAAAAAACTTGAAAACAAAAAATAAGGGCCCGACCTTGGCCCTCAGCCTGGGAGGCTCCTGGTGGCACTTTCCCAGGATTCCTCCCGTCTGGGGACAAAGCCAGTTCAGAGCCGGGGAGGGTGAGGGGGTTCCCAGCCTTTGTAAACTGGCTCTAAGAGTTTTGGCTCTGCAGGCTGCCCCACTTGTTGGGGGAGCAGCGTGGGGGCTGTGTCTAAACCGGTTTCTCCTCAAATACATTGTTTGAGTTGGGGTTGTAGAAATTTAAATCATGCTCTTCACAGGATTGGGCAACCAGTGCTTTTCACCCGTCATAGGCCCTCGAAACTGGGAAGCGGCTTTGCAGCTGGGTTGGGTTGGGGCTCTGGAGGCGGGGGGGGTGGTGGGGTGGTGGCGGGGAATGAAGGAGGGGTCCTGGAGAGGGGCAGGAAACCATGCAGAGTCTGAGCCCCCCACAACCGACCCTGTGGGCTGCGGGAGACAGCGGGAGGGGCAGAAGGGAAAGACCGGGCCCCCCAGTACAGTGCAGAGCTGGAGAGGGGCTTGGGGTCTGCACAAGGATTCTGGATTCTGATCTCCCAGAGTCAGTACAGTGTTGGGGGGGTGGGTTGGGGCTATGGACAGCCATGGACTAGGGAGTGTGGGGTACCCGGACCTTAGGGAACAGGTAACAAACTTAGAAGAAGTGCAGGAGAGACAGCACAGCTGAGGCCCTTGGCTAGCATGAGGTCAACCCGGGTTTAATCCCCAGCACCCCTAACCCCACCGGGCGTGATACCTGAGTGGTGCAGAGTCAGGAATAAGCACTGAGCACTGCAGGATGTGACCCAAATAACAAAAATTATGAACAGGCTGGAATTACCCATGATGGGGCGGGCAGGGACTGAGGCTCTGGAACCAGGAATGTGACCCAAAACCAGCCTTGTGACCCCTCCCTCGTGTTGTCACATCAGCCCACCTTGCCCACTCACCCTCGTCATCCTCAGGGGGACCAGTAGGGCCAGGACTGGGGGTCTGGGACTCGCAGCCAGGACTGGCCCAAGCTCAGGGGGGCTGGGTGGGCCCCCTGCTGCCCTGATCAGAGCTGACCCAGTCTCCCCCCACCCACCCCCACCAGGCCTTGGCGCTGCGACTGCAGGACCTGGGGTCCGAGAAGGAGGCGGCTCAGCGGGAGTGTGAGGACTTCCTGTCTGCGAGGCCAGTGGGTGCCGCTGCCCTGCACCTGCCCGTGGTCCTGAACAGCGTCAAGAACAAGTACAGGGACACGCGGGCTCTGTGCGACCTCTATGGGGAGAAGTGAGTCCTCCCTGGCAAGGGCCCCGGGCAGGGCAGGGCCGCGGTGGAGCAGGGGGTCCCCTGGGCCCGCCTGACGCTCCCGGCCTCCCCGCAGGGCACAGGCAGCCCTGGAACTGGAGCAGCAGATCCTGGATGCGGGCAAAGTCATTGAGGGCTTCGAGTCCACCCTGGCCCAGGAGGCGCCGCTGCCCGCCAGTCCAGGGGCGCTGCAGGACAGGGTTGCGGAGCTGCAGGTGTGTGTTGGGGGGGTGGGTCCAGCGCGGGCTCGGGAGCCAGGGGGTTGCAGTGGTGCATGGTGCCGTGTGTCCCCTAGCGCCTGCGGAGGGAGCTGCTGGAGCAGCAGGCCTGCGTGCTGGCGCTGCACCGGAAGCTGAAGGCAGCCGAGCACGCGTGCAGCGCGCTGCAGAGCAACTGCCACGAGTTCTGCCAGGACCTGCCCAGCCAGCAGCGCCGGGCGCGCGCCCTCACCGACCGCTACCACACCGTGGGGGACCAGCTGGAGTCCCGGTGAGTGACGCCAGCGCTCTACAGTGGTGATGCCTCCAGGCTGTTGCCCAGGGTCTACTCCTGCCCGGGCCTCTTGGCCGATCTTTGGGTTTCAGACCAAACCCGGGGGTGCTCAGGGTTTAATCATGGCTCTGAACTCAGGAATCATTCCTGGTGGGGCTCTGGGGACCGTGTGGGGTGGCTGGGAACTGCAACTGAACCTGGGTCAGCTGTGTGCAAGGCAGGTGCCCTCCCCGCTGGACTATTACTCTCAGCCTTTAGTTCTTTCTGGTTTGGGGGCCACACCCGGCGATGCTCAGGGTCACTCCTGGCTGTGCATGCAGGAATCACGCCTGGCAGTGCTTGGGGGAACCATATGGAATAAAGGGAATCCATGTTTTTTTTTTTTTTTTTAGTCACACCCAGCGATGCACAGGGGTTACTCCTGGCTCATGCACTCAGGAATTACTCCTGGCCGTGCTCAGGAGACCATATGGGATGCTGGGAATCAAACCCGGGTTGGCTGCGTGCAAGGCAAACACCCTCCCCACTGTGCTATCGCTTCAACCCCAGGAATCCATGTTTCTAATTCCCATATGGAATTTTTTTGTGACCTGGGTTGGCCCCGGCAAGGCTAATGCTCTGCCCGCTGTGCTCCTGCCCTGGCCCCCATTCACCCTCAGACCTTCCGGCTGGCCCGCCCAGGGGACCCCCCCACTTGGCTCTCGCTGCCCCTCAGCTGCCCCCAGGGCTCTCACCTCTGCTTCCCCACCTGCAGGGAGAAGATGGTGCAGGACCTGAGTCTCACCTACCAGCAGTTCAGGAACTGCAGGGACAACCTGAGCTCCTGGCTGGAGCACCTGCCCCGCGGCCAGGTGCGGCCAGGTGATGGACCCAGCCAGGTGGCCTACAAGCTGCAGGCACAGAAGGTGAGGGACTGCCATGCTGGTGAACGCGGTCCAACCCCCGGCCCTGGCAGGGCTGCATGTGTGTGGGCCCTACGCACTCCCAACGCCTAGACCTGGGAGGTCTCTGGCGCCCACACCGGAAGTGCCCCTGCTTTGATCGCTGGACAGAGAGGTCAGGCCAGCACATCTGTGTCGGGTCCAGGGTGGAGCTGGCTCTGTGGCCACCGGGCTCCAGCCCGCAGGGCACCCCCTCCAGCAGCTGTGCCTTGGCCAGGGTCCAGAGGGGGTTTCGGGGCGCCCCGGCTACAGGGGTGGAAGCCAGAGTGCAGAGCAGCCCACCGATGGCCACATCGCGGGGGACAGGGCAGGCGGTAGAAGGACCCGAGTCCTGAGCTGCGGCTGGATGGGACTCCAGCGGAAGCCCCAGCAGCCAGGGATGTGAAATGGACTCTTGGGAATTGGGATGAGTAGGCAGCTGCCACCCCCCCCCCCCCCCAAACCCGGACATGGGAGAAGCCTTCAGAATTGTTCTTGGTTGTAAGTGTTTAGTTTGTTTGGGGCGACACCCAGCGGTGCTCAGGAACTCTTTCCAGGCTCTGCGCTCAGGGATCGCTCCTGTGGGATGCTGGGGATCGAACCCGGGTCAACTGAGTGTGAGGCAAGCACCCTCCCTGCTGTACCGTCGCTCTGGGCCCCTTGCTCTGACACCAGGACCCAGGGATTCCAAGACCAAACAAGAAATGAAAATAAATGCCCCAAGTAAATGTCAGCTCAGGCAGCAGGGCTCTGGCCGGCCCCAGTGGCGTCACCCGTTGCACATCAGACTCTCAGCCGGGCACGCAGGGCTGGGGGGCTGCACCCCGTTTCCAAGTGATGTTCAGTCTGCACCGGGCATTAGGACCTCGGCGAGATAACCGCGAGGCAGGGGGGATGCCAGGCACGGGGAGGGGTTGGCTCTGCCCCTCACTCGCGCGTCTCCCCACAGAGGCTGCTTCAGGAGATCCAGGAGCACGAGCAGGCCAGGGTCATGGCCTCCCGCCTCTCCCTGGAGCTGCAGGCCGCCCTCCAGGTCAGCATGGCCCTCTGCCACCCCACCCCAGAGCCCTGCTTCCCCCTGGCACCTGCCCCGCCTAACCCCAGCCCATGTCCCCCGCCCCACCCTGGCTGCTCAGGACTACGAGCTGCAGGCAGATGCCTACCGCTGCTCCCTGGAGCCCCCACAGCTGGCCCCTGAGAGCCCCCACGTGGCGCCCCTGCAGGAAAGCATCCAGACCCAGGTGAGTTGGGGGCTGGAGTGGTCCCACAACCCCCTCCCAGAGCCGCGCCCCAGGGCCAGCACTGACTTCTGCCGCCCGTCTCCATCTCCCCAGGAGAAGGACCTACTCAAGGCCTATGCGGAGGCCACGGCTGCACACCAGCAGCAGCTGCAGCATCTGGAATTTGCCAGGAAGATGCTGGAGAAGGTACGGGCACGGCCCCCCACACCTGGCTGCTTCTCGGGTCTTGGGGCCTCCCGGGGGCTCCCCTCACAGCACCAAGAGGCAGGATCTGAGAGGCAGGCCCTCAGGTCACCTTCCCCCCAGGGGACAAAAGGCCTCAGCAAGAGCCCCCCAGGGGAGCAGGGGTTTGGTACTAAGGGTTGACATGGTATGGTTTGCACGTGGGTCTGACCCCCAAAGTCCTGCCAGGAGTGATCCCTGAGTGGTCACGAGTCAGCCCTGGTTCTCCACACCTGAGCAGCCAGGAGAGAAAGAGAGAGTGAGAGAGACAGAGACAGAGAGAGAAGAGAGGGGAGAGAGAGACAGAGACAAAGACAGCGCCTAAGGTCTTGGTTCCGAGCCCACACGGTGCTCCGAGCATCTCTAAAGATGACTCTTCCCCCAACACTGTGCCCCCCCTGAGTGCTGCCGGGTGTGGCCTAAGCACCTCCCCATCAAAAGTAATAGCAACAACAGCAATCCTGACTCCTGGTGACCAGCAGTGAGGGGTTCTGGGGGCTCACCCTTCCTTCTCTGCCACCCCACGCTCACTCCCGGCAGAAGGAGCTCAGCGAGGATGCCCAGCTGACCCCTGGAGCGGTGCAGGGCGCTGAGCGCCCAGCCCCGGCGGCGGCGGAGATGGGGCCCGAGGCGCTACGGTCCCAGCTGGAGGAGGAGCGGCAGCGTGTGGGCCGCGTGCGGCGGGAGCTGGAGGAGCAGCAGGACCAGCTGCTGCGGCTGCGCGCTCAGCGGCCGCGGGAGCGGCTGGAGGAGAAGGAGGTGGTGGAGCTCTACCGGGACCCCGAGCTGGAGCGCAGCCTGGAGCGTCTCCGGGCTCAGGTGGCCGACGAGGGCTCGCGGCGGGCGCTCCTGCAGGCCGAGCTGGAGATGGCGGCGCAGAAGGTGGTGCAGCTGGAGAGCCAGAGGAAGGCCGTGCCGCCGCAGCTGCTCACCAAGGAGGTGACCCAGGTGGAGCGCGACCCCGGCCTGGACAGCCAGGCAGCCCAGCTGGGTGGCGAGCTGCAGCAGCTGCGGGAGCAGGATGCGGCCGTCGGGGCGCGGCTGCAGGAGCTGCAGAGGGAGCTTCAGGCTCTGGAGCGCAAGGAGGCGAGCGTGACGGAGCGGGTGGTGCTCAAGGAGGTGGTGAAGGTTGAGAAGAACCTGGAGACGGTGCAAGCGGCCCAGGCGCTGCGCGTGCGGCTGGCGGAGGACCGCGCGCGGCGCGCGGCGGCCGAGGAGGCGGTGGCGGCGGCGCGCGTGCGCGCGGAGGAGCTGGAGCGCGCCATCCGGGCCGTGGAGCCCAAGGTGGTCGTCAAGGAGGTGAAGCGGGTGGAGCCGGCCCCGGGCCTGCAGGAGGAGGCGGCGCGGCTGCGGGGCCTGCTGGAGGCGGCCCGCAGGGAGAACGCCACGCTGGCCACCGAGCTGCGGGAGCTGCGGGGCAAGCACGGAGAGGCCGAGCGGCAGCGGCCCCGCGTGGAGCTGCAGGAGCGCGTGCTCGAGGTCTTCCAGGTGGACCCCGAGACCGCGCGCGAGGCGGAGCGGCTCCGAGCACAGGTGCAGGAGGCCGGGCAGCGGCGGGGCGCCGTGGAGCGGGAGGTGGAGGGGCTGCTGGCCGAGCTGGCCGTGCTCCGCGCGCAGAAGCCCCCCGTGGAGTACAGGGAGGTGACGCAGGAGGTGGTGAGGCACGAGCGGAGCCCCGAGGTGCTGCGGGAGATCGACCGCCTGAAGGCGCAGCTCAACGAGCTGGTGAACCGCGGCGGCCGCGCCCAGGAGCAGCGCATCCGGCTGCAGGGCGAGCGGGACTCCTGGCGGCGGGAGCGCGCCAAGGTGGAGACGAAGACGGTGAGCAAGGAGGTGGTGCGCCGGCACAAGGACCCCGTGCTGGAGCAGGAGGCCGAGCGGCTGCGCCAGGAGCTGCGGGACGCGGCCCAGAAGCGGCGGGCGGCCGAGGACGTGGTGTACGAGCTGCAGAACAAGTTCCTGCTGCTGGAGCGGCGGCGGCCCGAGGAGAAGCTGGTGGTGCAGGAGGTGGTGGTGATGCAGAAGGACCCCAAGCTCCGCGAGGAGCACAGCCGGCTGAGCCAGAGTCTGGACGAGGCGGTGGCGCAGCGCCGGCAGCTGGAGCGCGAGGCGCGGCAGCTGCAGGCAGCCGTGGAGGAGCAGGAGGGCCGGCTCACTTTCGGGGAGGACCGCGGCAAGAAGCTGGCGCTGGAGCGCGAGCGGCGGCAGCTGGACCTGCGTATCCGGGAGCTGGAGGAGCGGCCGCCGGCGCGGCCCGAGAAGATCCTCATGGAGGAGGTGGTGCAGCTGGAGAAGGACCCGGAGGTGGAACAGTCGGCCGCGGCACTGCGGCGCGACCTGGAGCAGGAGCAGGCGCGGGTGTCGGAGCTGCACCGCCAGTGCCAGGGCCTGCGGGTGCAGGTCGACGTGCTGCAGCAGACCAAGGCACAGGAGAAGACTGTGTACAAGGAGGTGATCCGCGTGGAGAAGGACCCGGCGCTGGAGGCCGAGCGGGCACGCGCCTGGGACCTGCTCGCCCGGGAGCGCGCCGCCCGCCAGGCCCGGGAGGACGAGGCGCGGCGGCTGCGGGAGCGACTGGAGCGGGCCGAAGCGTTGGCCAGGACCTGGGCCCGCGAGGAGGCCGAGCTGCAGCGAGCCCGGGAGCAGGGTCGCCGGGAGCAGCAGCAGCTGCAGCAGGAGCTGCGGGAGCTGGAGCGGCGGAAGGAGCGCGAGGTGCTGAGCCTGGAGGAGGAGGCGCAGCAGCTGAGCCGCCGGGCAGAGAGCGAGCGGCAGAAAGCGGCCCAGCGCGGCCAGGAGCTGGCGCAGCTGGAGGCTGCCATCCTGCGCGAGAAGGACCAGATCTACGAGAAGGAGCGCACCCTGCGGGACCTGCACGCCAGGGTGGGCCGGGAGGAGCCAGGGCAGGAGACCCAGACACGCGAGACCAACCTCTCCACCAAGATCTGCATCCTGGAGCCCGACACGGGCAGGGACATGTCCCCCTACGAGGCCTACCAGCGGGGTGTCATCGACCGCTGCCAGTACCTGCAGCTGCAAGAGCTGGAGTGCGACTGGGAGGAGGTGACCACCTCGGGCCCCTGCGGCGAGGAGTCGGTGCTCCTGGACCGCAAGAGCGGGAAGCAGTACTCCATCGAGGCGGCCCTGCGCTGCCGCCGCATCTCCAAGGAGGAGTTCCACCGCTACCGGGACGGCCGCCTGCCCATCTCCGAGTTCGCCCTGCTGGTGGCCGGCGAGACCAAGCCCTGCCCATCACTGTCCATCGGCTCCATCATCTCCAAGTCCCCGCTGGCCTCGCCCGGTCCACAGAGCGCCAGCAGCGGGGGCTTCTGCACCGGCTTTTCGCTGGGGCTGGCCGAAGACAGCTTCCCCATCGCTGGCATCTACGACACCACCACGGACAACAAGTGCTCCGTCAAGACGGCTGTGGCCAAGAACATGCTGGACCCGCTGACCGGGCAGAAGCTACTGGAGGCGCAGGCGGCCACGGGGGGCATCGTGGACCTGCTCAGCCGGGAGCGCTACTCGGTGCACAAGGCGCTGGAGCGGGGCCTCATCGAGAACACGGCCACGCAGAGGCTGCTCAATGCCCAGAAGGCCTTCACGGGCATCGAGGACCCCGTGAGCAAGAAGCGGCTCTCGGTGGGCGAGGCGGTGCAGAAGGGCTGGATGCCGCGCGACAGCGTGCTCCCCCACCTGCAGGCCCAGCACCTCACTGGGGGGCTCATCGACCCCCGGAGGACCGGCCGCATCCCCGTGCCGCAGGCCCTGGAGTCGGGCATGATCAGCGAGGAGCTGGCGCAGCTCCTGCAGGACGAGGCCGCCTACGAGAAGGACCTCACCGACCCGCTGTCCAAGGCGCCGCTGAGCTACAAGGAGGCCATGGAGCGCTGCCGCCGGGACCCGCTCAGCGGGCTGCTGCTGCTGCCCGCCGCGCTCGAGGGCTACCGCTGCTTCCGCGCCGCCTCCCCCGCCGGGCTCTGCCTACGCTGAGGTCCGGTGGCCCCCCCGTCCCCCCGCCCCGTGTCTGGCGGCCCCCCACCATGCCTGGTGCCTCTTGCCCACCCCACTCGCTCTGCATTTTCAATAAATGGTCAATCGTCTCGCGTATCTCCCCCCTGGGGAGCGAAGGATGGATTCTGTCTGCAGTCCCGGTGGGGGTCCCCCAGGGTTCCCCCTTTCCTGTCCTGCCTGCAGATTCCTGGGATCCCCCACAAGCAGGAAACAACAAAGCCCCGCTGGGCGAGTCAGAAATATGTCACTTTTATTCCCTATTCTCAAAGGCAGCAGCAAAGTAACAGAAAGCAGATCCGAGGGGTCGCCCCAGCCCCTCGAGGAGCAGGAACGCGTCCTCTCTCCCCCACACCCCACTTCCCGTGAGGTGGGACACCGAACTGAAACCAAACTTCTTAAACCCGCAAAGGGCCAGCAGGGGGCGTCCTTGCCCCTGGGTCTGGCCCGGCAGGGGAGGGCATCAGGCCACACCCGCAGGCCTCCTGCCCTCCGGGGCACCTGCCACCTGCAGGCCCAGTGTCGGGGTGGGGGACACCTTGGCCCGCCCCCTTGTGCACAGAACTTCTGTGCCCAGAAAGGCACCTTCAAGGGCACCTTCAAAGCCAGTGGCCAGCCTGTGGCTGGACCCGCCCCCAGGCCTTGGCTCAGCTCCTCCAGGGACCGTGGGTGGGGGCCTCGCCCGGCTCAGCGGCAGAAGTGCTCCAGCGCGCAGGGCCGGGGGCCTGGAGAGGCCTCAGCGGAGAAATAGGGATGAGTGAGGGCGGCCTTGGCTGAGACCCGCTGACTGGGGTCGTAGCACAGCAGTTGCTGGAAGGAGGGAGAGAGCCATGGGCCGGGCTGCAGGGAGCACCACCCCACAGGTGGGGAGCATCACTCCACAGGCGGCGCGGGGCCCTCCAGGAGTCTGGGCCAGGGTCAGGCCCCACGTCCAGAGCCCTCCCGCCCTGAGGCTGACGCTGACCCTCTCTGTCTTATTTGGGGCCATATCCAGCTATATACTCAGGGCTTATCCCTGGCTCTGAGCTCAGGGGTCACTTCTGGCAGGCAGGGCTCGGGGATACCTCACAGGGTGTCGGGGCTGGAACTGGACTGGCCGCGTGCGAAGCCAGTGGGGTGGGGGCTGTGCTATGAGGGGCCACGGTGGCTGTGCTTGGGGCCTGTGCGGTGCTGGGGCTGGAACTTGAGTGCTCAGAACCCGGTGGCCTGTCTGCCAGCCTGTGGGCAAAGGCTTGGCACCACCACACAGCCTGGCAGGAAGCTGGGCATGCAGCCGGAAGATGAAGCTGCCGCTCGTCTTCCCAGAGTCAACACCAGATCAAAGCCTCCCAGTCTGTGTCAGCAACGACCGTGGCTCTGCCAGAGAGGCCTGGCACGCTGAGGCTCTGCCAGGGGCCGAGACGGCACAACAGCAGGACAGAGAAGGGGTCAGTGGTAGGGGCCCAGGTGGCAGGGAACAGCCAGTTCTGACTCAGCCTGTGTGTCCAGAGGAAGAGTCCAGGTTTAGGGCGTGGGCCTGGCAAACGGCCATGAGTTTGAACCCTGGTGCGCTACATGTACCGAACTCTCTGCCATCCCAGCACCAGAATTTTAGCTGCACTGCAGATTGGGGTGTGTGTGTGTGAGCAGGACATCAGGGGGGACCCCCACAGCCTGAGCACAATTGGGGGTCTTGGGCCAGCATGCGTGGGAACACAGCAGCGGCTCCCAGCAGGCAGCCCCCCAACACCAGCAGGGCGCCTTGGCTGAGTAGGAGCCCACAACCAAGGGAAAGGCATCTTAGGGCGACCCCAGCGAGCACCTTCGTCACCATGGCAACACCACACTGGGGATGAAGGGGACGGGAGGAAGAAATTCAAACAAATGGCCACAAGGGCTGGAGCGAGAGCACGGTGGGGAGGGCGTTTGCCCTGCACATAGCCCTCCAGGGTTCGATCCCCGGCACCCCACGTGCCCTGAGCACAGAGCCAGAAGTAACCTCTGAGCATCTCTGGGTGTGAATCAAAAACATGGAGTGAGGCCCGGTCTGGGAATGGGGCTCCGAGAGAGGCCACGGCCATGGCCGTGGGACCATCAGTGCGGGCCTGGAGACAGGACACTTGCCTTGCATTTGGCTGACCTGCTTTTGGTTCTGGTACATGTTTGCTCTGGGCACCCCTGGGTACAGCACAAGAACAGAACAAAGAAGCCGAGGCAACACTATATTGAACCAACATGGATTCTATCTCCGGCACCCTGTAGGGTCCCCCTGTCATTGCTAGGGGGATATTCCTGAGTGCAGAGCCCGGAGTAGCCCCTGAGCATTGCTGCATGTGGCCCCAAACAAAACCAAACCGAGAAAAATAAGAAAATGTCCGGAATCAAACAAAACACGGTGGGCCCCACCCTTGGAGGAGGCCAGGCAGCAGCGGGCACTGCCGCCCAGACCTACCGTGAGCAGGTCCTTGCCCTCTGGCTCCAGGCCGGGCACCGCCTCATCAAGCCCCTTCCGGGCCCACTTGGGGAAACTGCTCTTGTAGTCGGGCAGCTGTGTGACCCCGGGCCACACGGCTTCACTGGGGGTCCCCAGGGTCCGGAAGATACGGAAGAGCTGGTCGATCTCCGAGTCCCCGGGGAACAGTGCCCTGTGGGTCACCTGTGGAGGAAAGAGGCAGGTGTGGGGGTCGCAGAGTGGGGGTAGGGGGTCTTCCCAGCACCAGGTCTTGGCTCCAGGGACACGGCCACTTCCTCTGCCCGAGAAAGGCCCGGACCCCCAGTGCTGGGCTGTTGTTCTTGGGGTGGAGGCCAACCCAGCGGAGGTGGGGTGATGGGCGCGGGGGCTGGCACCCAGGGCCTGGCAATACCATCTCAGCGAAGATGCAGCCTACACTCCACACGTCCACGGCCGTTGAGTAAAACTTGCTACCCAGCAGGATCTCAGGGGCGCGATACCACAGTGTCACCACCTGTGGACACAGAAGCCGCATCACAGCTGGGACAGTGGGCGGGTCACGGCCCGATGCGTCCTCCCTTCCGTGTCCCCCGGGGACCTCGTGGGTGTAGGTGCGCAAAGGCACCCCAAAGGCTCGCGCCAGGCCGAAGTCCGCCAGCTTGATGGCGCCCAGCTCGTCGATGAGCAGGTTCTGGGGCTTCAGGTCGCGGTGGATGACGCGGTGTGAGTGACAGAAGCTGACGCCCTGGAGCAGCTGGAAGAGATAGGTCTGGGGGGGTCCCCGCCATTACCTCCCTGGGAGTGGGGGTCCCGTCACTACCTTCCCTGGGAGTGGGGGTCCCCACCATTACCTACCTTCCCTGGGAGTGGGGGTCCTATCAATACCTTCCCCGGAGTAGGGGTCCCTGTCATTAACTTCCCCGGGAGTGGGAGTCCCATCACTACCTTCCCGGGGAGCGGGGGGTCCTCGTCAATACCTTTCCTGGGAGTGGGGGGTCCCTATCAATACCTTCCCTTGGCGGGGTCTCCCTGTCACTTCCTTTCCCCGTGTGTGGGGGGATTCTCATCACCTCCTTTCCCGGGTGGGGGGGTCCCCGTCACTTCCTCCCCCGGGTGGGCCGTCACTACCTTCACCAGGGGCAGGGGTAGCGGAGTGGCCGGGCTGGAGTCCATGTACTTCTTCAGGTCCTGGCTGAGGAACTCGAACACCAGATACAGCTTCTTCTCGCTGTGCACCACGTCCAGCAGCCTGGGGGGGGGGGTGCAGGGAGACCCCCGAGTCAGGCCCTAGGGCCCAGGGGGTGGGGTCACAGGCCCAGCAGCACCGGCTGTCCTCCCCACCTCACCTGACAATGTTGGGGTGCTTCAGCTCTTTGAGAAGGGAGATCTCTCGGATGGCTGTGCTGGGGACTCCTTCCGTCTCCCTGCGGGAAAGCAAGGTGCGTTGCTGGAGGCGGGAGCCGAAAGGCCCGCGGGGGAGCGGAGTGACTGCAGCTCTGGGGTCTCTGCTACCCCCACCTGGGCAGGGTCAGTCCAGCACCCACGGGTCCAGCCCAGCGCCCGCCTGCGGGGCCCCCAGTCCATCCCAGAGACCCCAGGGCCGAGCCCCCTCCCCGCCGGGCCCAGCCCAACACTCACAGGTCCAGCCGGATCTTCTTCAGGGCCACCAGCTGGCCCGTGTCCCTGTTGCGGGCCTTGTACACCACCCCGTAGGTGCCCTCCCCGATCTTCTCCACCTTCTGGAACACATCCATGGCGCGGAGCTGCCCAGAAACAGAGGCGCCCGGGGCGTTTGCCCCCCCCCCCAGCCTGCAGGGCCCCGAAGCCCCCCTGCCCGCCCCCACCCCAGCCCCGCACCCGGAACGGCGCTGGCCCCACCTGACCCCCAGCCCCTACCCCCACCCCCGCCGGGCCTCCCGGGGAGACGCACTGTTGCCCGCCTGAGCTCTGGAGGACCCCCGTCGCTGCCCAGCCAGGTCGGGCCGGGGTGCGGGCGGCCCACGAGGGCTTCCTGGGGCCGCCCCGGGGCAGAGGTCAAGGGTCAGGGGTCTCCGAAGCCCCGGCGCCACGCTAGGCCGCGCGCAGGGGCGAGACGCGGCCCGTGCCGCCGCCGCGGGCCTCCTAGAGGCCGGGTCTCGGCAGGAGAGCCCCCCGCGGCGCCGCCCCCCCACCACGCGCGGGCCCGGCGCCCCCCGGCCGGGAGTCACCCGAGACGCGGCGCGGGGCCCGGCGCAGCCGCCGTTCGGGGCGCCCCCTGCCGGCCGCCGGCGGCGCCGCACCCGCGCGCACGAGTTGCCCGCAGGGGGCTTCTGCTTGTTTCCCCCGGGGGTTCTCCGGGCGCCCCTCCCGCCGTCGTACCCCGCTGCCGCGCCGCTCCGGGGCCGCCGGGGCTCAGGCGCGGGGTGGGGCGGGGCTTCCGGAAGCTTCGGGCCGCTCTCTCAGGTAGGCGCGCTGCTCCTGGATGGCCCGTTCCAGCGGCGGCAGGTCCAGGCCCTCGGCGCAGGTCAGCACTCGGGCCCGCACCACGGGGTCCCCGCCTGCAGGGCAGAGGGGCATCGGCGAGGCCGCAGGTTTGCCAGTGCGCAGGACCCCGGAGAGCTCGGGCGGTGGGCAGGGCCCTGCCTTGCACGTGCCTGGGCTGGGCTGGACCCCAGGCACGGCGCGTGGGTCCCCCACACTGTCCCAGGAGTGACTCCTGAGCACAGTCAGGAGGAAGCCCGGAGCGCCGCCTAATGTGGCCCAAGAAACGACAAAACGACATGAACAAAACCTCCGCCAGACTCAGAAGACACAACAGAAGGAAAATTAGAAAGCACTTGCGGCCAGAGAGCTAGCGCGGGGCTGGATTGCAGGCTTTGAATGCAGGAGATCCAGCATGACCAGGGGCCCTGAGCAATGCTGGGAGTGACCCCCAAGCACAGAGCATTGGGGGTCAAAACATATTGTGAGGGACAGGCCCAAAATGGACCACCAGAATTAATTTAGCTTAGCTTAACAGGAACCGGCATTCCAAAGTAACTGGTTTTTCTGCCCCTGAGCAAGGAATTCAGATACAGGTGCTCCGAGTTGCAAGTCACAAGAAGGGTGGGGGTCAGACCAGATAACCAGATGTCTCTCACATGACCCAGGACTGCCCTGAAAATCAGGACGCTCCTAAGCACTGATGCAAATGCTGATCTTTAAATTATAGGCTAAGGAGTGATGTGCTTTAAAATGGATTGGTCAGGAAAGTGTGGGTTGTTACAAATCGATTGGCTTTGAAATGCGCGGGCTCTGCTTTAATGGCTGCAGGCCTATATAAGATCTCCTTTGAAGAAGCTGGGGGAGGGGGTGTCTTGCCCATCCTGCCAGACCTGCATGTCTGCATAGGTGGCTCAACCCTGGCTAGCCCGTCTTGCAATAAACCCTGCTTGCTGTTTGCAATCCCTGGAGTCTCTTTGTCATTAAAGGGAGATCACAATCCACGTCCTAACAATATCACTGTATCACTGTGCTCCTGTTGTTCATCGACTGCCTTGAGCAGGCACCAGTAACGTCTCCTTTGTCCTGGTCTTGAGATTTTAGAAAGTGCCACATTCGAGGCTCTTTCAGGGTCAGGAGAATGAGACCCATCATTGTTACTGGTTTTTGGCATATTAAATATGCCACGGGGAATTTGCCAGACTGTGCCGTGTGGGCAGGATACTTTTGGTAGCCTGTGAGGTTCTCCAGAGTAAGAACTAGATAATAAGATGTCTCAACATAAATAAGCTAAAAAAAAAAAATTCTCTTTGAAAAGAAATTAAACTTTTTTTGTTTTCTTCCACACAGATATTTCTGCTCTCCGGGTCCATGAATGAATACAATTGATGGTTCGAGGACATAAGACACTCTTTTTTTTGGAGGGGCAAGGGGGTCACACATGAAGTTCAGTACTTTGGGGTGACCTCCAGCAGTGCCCAGAGTACCATGCGGTGGCAGGGAGCATGGGATGGAGGGGCCAGGAGGGCAGGGCTGAGCTCAGAGTTCAGAAGCACATCACAGATCACCCCCAGAGCCATAGGGCAGTCCTGAAATCTGAAAGGCATGAACTCTGTGGGTGCAAAGGTTTAAGCCTGAATAAATATTAACTTTCGAGGCTGGAGCAACATCACAGAGGGAGCTCGCCGTGTACTCAAGTGACCCACGGGTCAATCCCCAGCACCACACAGGGTCCCTGGAGCCCCATCAGGAGTGATCCCTGAGCACCGCCATATGTGACTCAAAAATAAAAATGAGCAAGACAAGGATTAACCTTCATAGCGATGAAACCAAATATGAAAGTGCAGGGTCCTCTGCATTACTCATTTTCCCCACAGAAAGCTAAGCCCTGAGATAAGGAGAGAGCTCAGAAACGGACCCTGTGAGGCCCTCGGTGCCAGTCTCGCACCACAATGAAAGCAAAACAGCCAAGGTAACTTTAGGAAGCAAACGGCCAACTCAAAAGAGAAAATCAAGGAATGTGCACAGGGCCACAGAGAGTACAGGGGAAGTTGCCTGCCTTGCACATGGCTTTCTTGGGCTCAATCTCAGCACCCCATACGGTCCCCTGAGCAAGGAGCCAGGAGTAAGGCCTGGGCACTGCTGGGAGTGCTCACCCCACAGAAAAAAAAACGCTTGTATTCTTTTTTATTGTGGTTTTTGTTTGTTTTTTTGGGTCACGACCGGTGATGCACAGGGGTTACTCCTGGCTCTGCACTCAGGAATTACTCCTGGCGGTGCTCGGGGGACCATACGGGATGCTGGGAATCGAACCCGGGTCGGCCGTGTGCAAGGCAAACGCCCTACCCGCTGTGCTATTGCTCCAGCCCCTTTTTTTTTTTTTTTTTTTGGCCACATCTGGCAGTGCTCAGGGCTTACTCCTGACTCTGCGCTCAGGGATCACTCCTGGCAGAACTTGGGAGACCCTAGAGGGTCCTGCAAACTGAACCTGGGTCAGCTGCGTGCAAGACAAGTGCCAAACCTGCTGGAAATAAGTACGATTAACCTGGTGGTAATCTCTCCAATGTGGCAGAGCTCAGCAGACAGGTGCCGAGGGAACCAGAGAGCTCTGGGGATTGGTCCCCGCTCCTGGCACAGGCAGGCCTGTGCTCTAGCACTCGAGACATCCTAGCCCCTAAACCCCCATTATTTCTGGTGGGCCTCCACTGGTGATCACTGACCAGAGCTTCAGTGCAAGGAGGAAAACAATGCTCGGGTGTGTCCAGGGGACCATGGATGCCAGGGTCTGAGCTGGGGTTGGTGCATGCCAGGAATATTTCCTAATATCTGTACCATCTCCTGACAATGACACCACTTTTTATTACTTTTTTTTTGGGGGGGGGCATATTCAGTGATGTTCAGAGCTTACTCCTGGGTCAATGCTCAGGAATCACCCCTGGTAGTACTCAGGGGAACCCTAAGCCAGGCATTGAACCTGGGTTGGCTATATGCAAGGTGAGCACCTTACCTGCTGTACTATCACTCTGGCCCCTACAACACCATCTTAATGGCTGTATAATATTCCACTGAGTGAAATAAGATATTTAAAAATACTACATGTACAGCTTGTTTATTTATTATTTTGTGTGTGTCTTTTGGGGTCACATCTTGTGATGCTCAGGGATTACTCCTAGTGGTGCTCAGGGGCCCATATGGAATGCTGGGATTGAACCTGGGTAAATGCCCTCCCCACTGTACTATCGCTCCGGCCCATGTGCTATATATTCAGAAGAGAAAAAATGACAGCAGTATAGGGGTTGGAGAGATACTACAGTGTGTAGGCTGCTGGCAGCACATGCCAGGTTCAATCCCTAGCACCACATAAAGTCCCCGAGTCCTGCCAGGAGTGATCCCTAAGTGCAGAGCCAGGAGTCAGCCCTGAGCAACACTGGATGTGGCCCCCAAAACAAAAACATAAAAAAAAAAGAGAGCAGCAATGTAAATATTCCCGGGGGCCAGAGTGATAGTACAAGTAACACTCTTGCCTTGCACATGACTGACCTGAGTTTGATCCCCATTACCCTATAAGGTCCCCCAAGCACTGCCAGGAGTGATCCCTGAGCACAAAGTCTGGAGTAACCCTTGAGCTCTGCAGGTATAGACCCCCCCAAATAAAACCATATATATAGATAAATCCCCCCAGATGGCATGAGTGACACCCATCAGTGACGTTCAACATATCACTGGCTCTCTGGCCCCACTTGGTCATGTTCCTCCCTGGCATTCTGGTCACTTACCCTGACTTCCTGGCCAGGCAGTTTAGGCCCACCCCGCTGTCTCCAGGCCTGGGAGAACACCTCTGAAACACCCACAGTCAGACTCAGATGATAGACTTGCGAGCACGTTTGCGACGATTTAAGCAGACCACTTAGCAGCAGCCTTTGGAAGCCTATTGGTCTGGTGGCGGCCTGTGGCTTGGTGCTAAGGGGTCCTACTGGGAGGTGCTGGGGACCAGGCCCAGGGCTCCCGCGTGCAGAGTCCCCTCTGCGTCATCTCCTGGCACCCGGCTTTTGAAAGGAAAGGGCGCTCCCCCGACTCGCGTCCCTCTGCAGGCCCATTCTGAGCCAAATCAACTTGGAACCTCATGCGCCCATAAACCTGGGGGTTGTTTGGGAAGGAACCTTCCCCCCATGAGGGCTCGTGGTCTCAGGACTCAAGCCCAGGCTGGCGCCAGAGCACAGGGATGGGTTGGCTTACCCTGCTGGTGCTCTAGCTCCCCCAAGACCACGTAGAGGGAGCCCAGCTGGGCTGGGAACGGCTCCACCAATGCAGTGCAGACGAGGAGCTGGTGCTGCACCGGGCCGTGCTGGGCCAGCAGACTCGCCTGGGACCGGCTTGCGTCGTAGAGGCTCAGCCTGGAGGTGAGAGACAGTGTCAGTGCTTTCGTGCACATCGGAAGCTGCTGCGAGGCTCCAAGTACCCCCAGGGAACTGTTCCGCTCCAACCCAGAAACGAGAACAAAAGAGAGAGTGCAAGACCAGCACCTTCCCTGCGGCACTCTCTCTTTAGTCCATTTTTACAAGTACAGAGAATTAGCTTAGTGTTTTTGGTTTTTTTTATTCTGGTTTTTGGGTCACACCCAGCAATGCTCAGGGGTTACTCCTGGCTTTGCACTCAGGAATTATTCCTGGCGTTGCTCAAGGGATCATCTGGGATACCAGGGATCGAACCCAGGTTGGCCACGTGCAAGGCAAATGCCCTACCTGCTGTACTACATAGCTCTGCCCCCCCCAAAGGAAAATAAATTAAAAATAAGATTTTCCTGAGTAACCATGCAGTACCCTTGCAACCCTAAAGCATGTAGTCCTGAGTTCAAGTACCTGCTGACCCAAGTGCACGATTCTGGCAGCTCATCTGTTCAGCTACAGCCTTGCTGTCTTTTGGTGTCACCAAAAAATACGAAAATGGGCTAGGTAGGATATACAGGACACTAGTAGAAA